GGGCCCGATTCTGTGGTGGCGGAAATCAGGCCTCTAAAGCGGGGGTTTACCCGCCCCCCGCCCCCACTTGGCAGCCCTACCAAGAAGGGAACTTCAGTGCTAAGTGACTGTCTCCTTCACCTTTCTTCCTATGCCTCATCCTGCACTAAACTGCTCAAGTGATGGGTCTGACATTCACTGGTTTCCATTGGAAATCTATTTATGAAAGTGCTGCTTTTGGATCTTGGCACATTTCTAACCGTATCCTTCCTGGAACAAAATGGCATTTCCATTTGTGGAAGCAGGACTGTTGATTTCTGCTGATTTCCTATTTCTTGCTGCAGACCACCAGACCTATGCTGTTCCTAAGGGTCAGCTGACCCCCAAGACTAGCTAGATTTTGTCAGATCTTGGAAACTAAGCTAAACAGGGTGGGCTCTGGCTGCTGCTTGGATTGGGAGACCACCAAGGAAGTCCACGTTTGCTATCCAGAAGCAGGGCAATGGCCAAACCACCTCCATTTGTCTCTTGTCTTGAAAACCTATAGGATTGCCTAAGTTGGCTATGAGTTGACAGCACTTTCCACAACCAAAACTGGGATAAGTTGCAATTGCCTTGTCAGATAACTCATTCTCTTACTTTCCAGAAGTTTCCCATAATTCAACCTTTACCTATTCCACAAAATACTGTTTTCTATCAGATCCCTTTTTCATATCCCTGTCAACTAATGAGGATGGGGGGAAACCTCCAACCTACACATGAAGAAACTATGGCAAAGCCATTTGCCATGTAGAAAGTGAGGAAACTGAATGCTGCCACTTAAAGGAAAGAAAGGCAGAAAGAGGCCTTTTCCATCAGTCTGCCTGTTTCAATGGGCCACCCCAGGGTTGTAGCCATGGGGGACTTTGGGCGATGCTCCCTCCTGAATGTGCCCTGCCCCCTCCCCTGCCTGTCCCAGGAGGAGGAGGGAACCTGGGGCTCCCCCTTCCGCAATCAGCTCAGTGGCTTCTCCACATCCCCGCACTCTCACCAGACTCTAATGTGCCCCAGGCGGGGAGGAACTCCCAGGCACCGAGTAGGGCAACGGAGGCAAAGGAGAGGTGGTGGGTGGGGGATACGTGAGCCTAGTGCTGGGCCAGAAAGGCGGCATGACCTGTGCACTCCCATGGCCTCCCAACACCAACACCTCGCCCAGCCAACCGGGGAAGGAGGAGAGGACAGCATGGTCCGACCTTGGAGAGGAATAGGAGGGGGGTGTCCCTGCGTTGCTTGCCTCATTGGCCAATGCCAAGCCCTGGGGGGGGGCAGGAGCTCCTTACTCAAGACAACAGTGTTAGGGAGGCAACACAGCTTTGAGGCCAGGAGGAAGGGCTGCTGAGGTTGGGGAGCGCACAACTGCTAGAGCTCACAGCCAAACTCAGTTATTTTATTGGGGTGGGGTGAGGAAAAGGTCTTTTCCAGGGGCAGGGAGGCTTCGCTATTGAATAGCCAAAGAGAACAGGGAGGACTTCAGATTTGCAACAAGAGGAAGGAAGCCTTGCAGCTGGTTTCTGGAAAGGTTTACTCACAAGGAAGTCATTGGTGCCCCATCAGATTACCAGTGATTACATGAATTGCTAATCTAATTAGCGGTAACCTAATTAAATCACCCCCCCCAACCAAATATTTTCTGGCTACAGGCCTGGGCTACCCATACTTCCATCTGCAGCTGGCCACGCTACATAACTATATACTGTGAGGTCCCTTCTGTGGGCCTGCTTTCCCTAATTTGTATTGTTTTATTATTGGCCATCTTGACCACTTCTTTTAAAAATTATACAGAATATAGATTTGATAAATGAGTGAAAAATGGCATGGCTCCGCCCCCAGGGTCCAACGTCACTTCCGGGTGACGCGGGGGTGGGGTTTCCCCCGGGCCCCGATTCCGCGGGAGCGGGAATTGGGGCTCGAAACCGGGGGGAATTCCGCCCCCCGGGGGCATTTGGCAGCCCTACCCAACACACACACACACAAACTGGAAGGCTAAAACCCCACAAAATCATAGAAGCAGAACCTGTAGTTTTAAGAAATAAATTCCCCCAGTGGCCATTGCTAGGTAATCACAACAGCATTACCAGCCTTCGAGCCCTGGTTTCTGTCAGTACGATGACTTTATATTTTTCTACTTGTTATTCTGCTTGCTATTTTTAGAAGCTTTTCTGCTTTTTCCTAATTTATTATAAAACTGTTTTAAATATTTTGATACTACCTACCTGACTTTGATACTTATATAATAGGGTTTTTATAAGGAAATTTCAGGTATTATCAACCAATCTAAATAATGCATATTTCATGTCTGACACTTATGCATCTTTGGCAATAGTGTGAATGGCTTGCTCCTCTTCTAGCCTGTGGTAAATTATAAGGCTTGAAATTTGGTCTTGTCTCTGACAGATGTCTGGTATATAGGGAATCATGGATTTACCTCAGGAAAAATTATGTAGATAACACATTCTGTTAGAAAGAAGTGGATTCTAGTCTACAAAACCTTGTGCCGGAATAAAATTGTGTTAGTCTTTAAGGTGGCAGAAGTTTCCAGGTTATTTTTGTTGTAGCATACTAGCACAGCTGCCCCTTTGAAATTACAACTTTCTCACCTAAATTTTCATCTAATTAATTCCAAGAAGTTACTCTGTGAGCAAGAAATGTTATGGAGGATTTGTTCTGTTGCACAGGGGATTGAACTAGGTGACATTCAGTTCTTTCTCAGCCTTACTTTCTGCCAGATCTTGAATTCTTTGCGAGGGTTTTTGTTCCATTATGGTTTTGTGCCAGTGGAATGCAGTTCAAAGTAAGCTATCAATGAATCATACCTCATTGGCTAGTCAAAGCTAGTTCTGCAATGAAGACTGAAGACTCCCTGTTCTCAGTAACAGGTTTTTTTTCTAACAAAATCAAATAAAAATTTTAAAGTATCTTGAGTAAACATATTTATGGCCAATATTCTTCATATGACTGGGTGGCAACTATATAAAATAGTATGCTATGTTCAGAGAATTAATAAGGTAACTGAATATAAAAAATCAACAGGTACACTAAAATGATATGGGGTGTGTATGTATGCAAAAATGGTTTATTGGTAGATCACCCATTGAGTGCAGAAAATATTAAGTACCTTAATTGAACAGCACTATATAATGACAGATGCCCTGTTTTACCATGTTGTAAAACAGAGGCACATGAAATTAAAAAGAAGTCACCGGGGAATGGGACTGTTTCATCAGCTTTGCTCTATGTAGATTTTGAAAGCTGTTTTTCCTACCTTTTGTGGCTGTACAAACTCATGTCTGTCAATATCTCCCTCAATATCCTGACAGCTAGAGAGCAAACAGGGCTTTTAAAATTTTATTTTATTTATGTTATTTATAGTCAGCCTTTTTCACTTGGACTGAAGGTGGATCACACAGTACAGTACAATACTATATCGACAGGATAGGATATTTAGTAAGCAACACAATAGGATTAGGGTTGTAGAAGAACTAGTTAGACATCTAAAAACAAAGCATAAGTATTAACATGATACATTAAGGCTGAGTTCAGACTGGCCCGATATAAGCGTGTGTTGAGGAACATTTCGCAAATGGATTAAAGGGGCCGTTCATACAGGCACATCTGTCTGGCATTCCCCACCCGTACTCAACCCGTCTTGTAACGCTTTGCTCCCGAGTTTAAAAGATACCTGGTGAAAGTGGTAGCAAACCCTCGTGAGTCCGTTTATCCCGCTTCATTGTGCTTCCCGGAGGTGTGAACGCTAACCACTAAAAGCCGGGAACAGCCCGCATTAATAATGTGTGCTGGCTGTTTACGCTGACTGACCTCCTAGCCTCACTCTGGCACCAGGAAGGTGCAGGTGATTGCCTTGAAGAGGGGGTAGTGTTGTGGCCGGATGTGCCTATGGCCCACAGCAGCCGGATCCTGCCCTATTTGCCGCTGCGCCTAGGCATCTGCTGCAAGAAAAATACTGCTTACAGCCACACCTCTGGGCCAACAGTGTGAACGCTCCCTCACACCTCCTCCCGGTATGCTCCTGCATCAGTCTGTGCAGTGTGACCAGGAAAACCTGGAGCAGTTTGTTCCAGCTCTTTTTTGCAACGACTCCCTCCTGCTTCAAACTGCCAGTCTGAACTCAGCCTAAATGATGCAAAAATTACCCTAGTTTCAGCAAGCTGAACATAGTATAGACAACACCAAAGTTATCTAAGTAACTTTGTGAATCATTTAGTACAAAACTTGAGAAATTATAGATATTAAATGGCAATAGGCATAAAATATAGGATCATGACCCGTGTATACCAGAGTCAGGATTCCCAGAGCCCATGAATAGATGAGGAGACTAGGTTGCTAAAATAATTGATTTCTGTACTAAATATTCTCAGGCATAGAAATAACAATAAGCAAGCACTCACACATACAATACAGAGCTAAGAATATAGTGTTGAAAGGATAGCGCCATTTGCATGAGCAGGAGTATCGTTGGTGGATAATACATTACCTGTCTGACGTGATGAGCAGATTTTGCAGTGAAAAAGGAACTGAAAGGAGGGAGGGAGGGGTTCGTTGGCCGACCAGTGACACATGTGGAGCAGTTCCAAACAGATCTGGAATGGAACCAAGAAGGTAGATAGGGGGCAAAGAGAAGACAGCGAACTCAGGGGGAGCTCACCTTAAATAGCCAAAATGTGACCTGGCAGTGGCCATGTGGTCATGGGTTCCCAGGAAATGTACACACACAAAAAAATAATAATTCAGGAGGGCTAAGACAAAAGGGATGGCAGTTGGGCAACTGAGAGTTGATGGTCTTAATTGGAGTGACACCTCTTGGGGCAGGTGAGAGACAAGGGAAGGAGCAGAGGATCCAATCATGTCAAAGATTTGGTGCTTCACATTAATGATCCAATGCTTATTTGATGTTTCTCTGGATGGGTGGCAGACAGGCTTAATCTCTTCTTTTGTCTTTAGCTGGGCACAGTCTTTTGTTTAAGATGACTCAAGAGGAAGAGGAATGTGTTACTTTCCAGGTGAAGTTAACACACGGGGGTGAGTGGGTAAGGATGCTGCGTGATGGAGAAGAGGTTTTCTTGTGGCTCCTGTTCAGGAACATCTATCCTTTGTCAGAGCATGGCTTCTTCTCAGGTCTGCTAATGTCTCTGCATGCATGGAGGCCAGGGCTATAGGTCTGCATCACAGTGCTTGTGTGGATGCAGAGGTGCAGGGGCAGAGGTCTCTCTGTAGTCCCGGGTCCACATCTGGCTTGGCATGTGTTTAGGGCATAAGGCTTCTCTTGGCCACAGTGTACATTCCATAGTCCAGCATAGGGCACTTCACTAGGACCACAGCTCTGTCCATTGCCCTGGCACACACTCTTCACAGTCCAGCAAGGCAGTGATATTAAATGAGTCTTTAATAAAGCCATCTGAAGTGACTGCGTGGCAACAGTTCAACAATTGCCTGCGTAGAAAAGCTCTCTTGAATAATTAAGTTTTGCATTGTTTGTGGAAAGCCAGGAGAATGGATGCCTTCCTGAACTCCTCAGGCAGACCATTCCATAAGCTGGAGGCCACAGTATGAGCAGTTGTTGATTTTGCCTATTTGCAGGTTGACATCTGCAGAAGATCTTGCTCAGATGAGTGAAGCTGTCATGGCAGTGTATAGTGGAGTGGTGGTCTCGCAGATATGAGGGTCCAAGGCCATGAAGGGCTTTGTAAGCGATAGACAATACTTTAAATTGAGCTCAGTAACTCATGGGCAGCCAGTGGAATGACTGCAGAATGGGAGTAATGTGCGTGCTCCATCTAGCTCCCGATAATAACCGAACCACAACATTCTGCACCAATTGAAGTTTCTGAACTGATTTTGAAGGGAGACCATTGTATAGTATTTTACAGTAGTCTGGTCTCAATGTCACTGTGGCGTGGATACAGGTGGCCAGATCAGCCATATCAAGGTAAGAGGCCATCTTTCGAGCTACGCTGAGTTGGGAGAAAGCTTTTTTTTTGCGGCTGCATTAATTTGCTTCTCCAGCAATAACATTATAAAGAGATGTTCTTCCAAATGAGATGAAAAAAATTAGAGAACATCAGACCTGTCATAGCAACTGAGAAAACATCCACCGTTGTTAAGAAACTGTACCGCTCTTTGTTATAGACCCTGGTTGCACTCAGATGTGACAAGTCAATCCGCTGACAGACACATCTACCCTACAGAGGTGTTCTTGAAAAGAGCAGTTTCTGTCAGAGCTCTCTCAGCCCCACCTACTTCACAGGGTGTCTGTTGTGGGGAGGGGAAGGGAAAGGAAAAGGAGTTTGCAAGCCGCTCTGAGACTCTGAGTGAAGGGCGGGGTATAAATCCAATCTCCTCCTCCTCTTCTTCTTCTACACCAAACTTGTGAATAATTAGTGAGTAGCTTAAAGACATTTTCTTTCACTTCCTTTCCAACCAAGTCCACTATGGCGAAAAGTCTGAGGAGATCTTGGCTGTATGAGCAGAATACACTGCTGGCTGTTGTGACAGAATGGCATCCCCCCCCCCCCCCCCCAATACAAAAGGGAAGTCTCATGTAATGGAGAATCTGAAATTTTCTTTCCAAGGATATGAGCTCTTTCTCGGGTGAATGCCAATTTCTTGCATCACAGCATGGCCACTGACAGTAGCTTCTCACAGTTGTAGATGTGTCATTTCTTCTATCTAAATACTGTACTGAGAATGTCCGTGTGTGAAAAAAATCCATGGCCAAATTAACTGTGAAGTACACACTGTGGTTAGTCTGAATTGTTCTGTCTGGAAAAAGAGCAGCCAAGTCACACACAACCCTAAGCACAGTAGCTGACACAGCCAGGCCTTTGACTTGAGCCAAAGTACTTGCAAGATTCTTTGGTTTCTCCTACCATTTTCAGTGGGAACAGGAGCAGCACAGTATAGTATTCCATCCCTCAAACATGACTATTTTGGGAATAATATAAAATAACTGTTACTATCTGTCCTTTCATGCTATACATGAGTATAGCTTACAAGATGAAAAACTGAACAAAGTTTGAGTCCAGTAGCACCTTTAAGACCAACAAAGTTTTATTCAAGGTATAAGCTTTCGTGTATGTCATGCACACTTCTTCAGATACTGATAACACTTTGTTGATCTTAAAGGTGCCACTGGACTCAAACGTTGTTCTGCTGCTTCAGACCAACACAGCTATCCCTCTGAAGATGAAAAACTACTTCTGTAGAATTTGTTAGGAATGACCCAGTTAACAGTTTAATCCTCTTTTATTTCTCACTCTGCCATTAGAGCTGTGTTCTTTAACATCCTCCCAAGGATAAACAAGGCCAGAAAATGTCCTGCTCTAAAACATACAGTGATAACGAGGGTGCATGCCAAAGGACAGGTACCCTGTTTCCCCGAAAATAAGACCTACCCAAAAAATAAGCCCTAGCAGGATTTCAATGCATTTGTGGTATAAGCCCTAGTATGTCTTCTTGAGAAAAAATAAATATAAGACAGTGTCTTATTTTCGGGGAAACACGGTAGCTTACAGTGCAATCTTAAGGGCACTTTCTGGGGTGTCAGCCACTATTGGTTAAAACTGAACTTTCTGAGTAGACTTGTTTAGGATTGCTCCCATAGCCACACATCTTTAGTGCACAAGAGGGAATCCTGACTGAATGTCACCAAGAAGACACAGGAATACCAAATAGAAAAGAAAGAAAAAAGGGGAAGAGGGTGAAATATCTGTGTGAGAAGTGGGGAAATGGAAACAATGGCATGCATTTTGTTGGTAATAGGCCTGAAGCAGTTCAAAAGCCAGCATTTCTCAAGAGGTGGGTTGCAATCCCAGCAAAGCTGTTGAAAGAAAGGATCAGGGTCATGACTTCTTGCTGTGGTCCCAGTTACCTCAGGTGGGATATAAAATGATCTGGGGAAGGGGGCATATAGAACCTAGTGGAGGAGTCAGCTTAGAGGGATATTGGTTGTAGGCGGGGATGAAACAGATGGTATTTAGTATTTAGGGTGATAGACCACATAAAAGTTGTACACTGAAGTCATCATACAGCATTATTTTAAAAAGGGGAAGACAATCTCTTTTGTTCCTATTTTAACAATAACATCGTAAAAGAATTCAACATAAATTCAGAATCACAACAGTGTGTCTAATAATATTACTCTGCAATGTTTTTGAGGTAGTATAGCACCTCCTCCTGTTTGTAGAATAGAATAAAAATACAGCAAAAAAAGACTGCTTTTAATATGTCTTGACCAACGCAGGCCACCAAATTATGTGGATACTTTGGGACTAGAACCACAAGGGATACACCAAAAGGTTTCATGACTGACATCCTCACAGCGTTTCTTTCCTCACAGGGCAAAACTGCAGCCTGTTCCTATAGTCATTCCTTTAAGAACTAAAAATAAACATGAGTCTAGCAGCACTGTAAAGACTGGAAAAGATATTACTGCAGTATAAGTTTTCATACAGCTGAATATACTTCTGAAGTAGGCTGTGGTCCACAAATGGTACAACAAAATTTTGCTTTTCTTTATGGTGTCACAAGATTCCTGTTTGTTTTTGCTGCAACAGACTAATGCCACTATCCTGCTGGAATTCTTTGGAAGCAAAGTTCAGTAATTCAGTAGGGCTCACTTTTCAGTTAAGCGTGCACAGAACTAGTGACTTACCACTGTAAGAAAAGTGTGCAAGCAGCACACTTGACAGAGCAGTGGAGTTCAATGGGCTTAGACTGGAGTAATTCTGCATACAATCCTACTATTTGTGCACTACTGTCTTTAAAATTCTGTGGGACTTGCGTTAACATGTATGGGTCTGTTTTGCACAATAAAGGCAAATGCAAGTCAGCCCTGCTCTAGATTCCTGTCTTCGTGTGTCTGGTCCTTGACTATTTCTAACCTCTTGCTGCAAAATAAACGGGAGTTCTGTAGTATTAAATGCACGTAGCGCATGTTCACTAGACAGACATTTTCATACAAATGATAAGGGGGGGGGGAGGATTTAAGAAACATCCCACTCCGTTTTGCAGTGTTATTATTTAATGCCGGTTCTGTGGTGCTCTCCCTGCATTTTAGCAAGGAAAGGGTTAATATAACAGCATATTATTTCATTTTTTTAATTTCTAAAATATTTTCCTGCAGTATCTTTAACACCTCCCAGTGTGTTTTGCAGTAATATTACTTATATAATGACCTTTTCTCCCGGCTTTTACACCATGTCGTTTTAAACAGTAGGGTCAAAGCCCCACATTGTGTACTTCCTGTATTGCATGGGTCTACAAAGTGCCCAGGACACCGATTTCTCTGTAGCTCTCCCGAGTCCTTCCGGATTTCCCTCTCCTACACTCCGCTCCGCTCAGGCCACATTCTCAACGACCCGGCCTGGTTCGCAAATGGTTCCAGCTTCCGGGTTTTCCACTGTGCCTTAGCAGCTCCGGCTCCTTACGATTCACTCCGGGTTTCCTCTTTTGCCCAGCCGACTCCACCCCGCGGCTCCGGTTTCAGCCGCTGCTACAGGGACCCCCAAGATGGAAACGCAGGGGCTGCTTGCCGCGGTGGAGGCGGCCCGGCCCGAGCCTGGCACCCAACAACATGGCGGCAGCGTCGTTGTCAGCGATGGGGCTCTCTCCGCGGCTTCTTCCCCCTCAGGGCCCGCTCGCCGATCCCCTCAGCGGCGCGACTCGGCCGCGGCGGCACCAGCGTCAGGAGGAGGCCTGGACGTGACATTCCCGGTGCTGCTCCTGCTTGAGGGCGAGAAGCCGCCGGAGCCGCCGCCGCCATTGCCGCCGCCGCCGCCCCCCCCTCCAGCGGCGGCCGGGGGGGGAGACGCGAGGCGCCATTGGCGTCGGCACCTTCCGAGGAGGGCGGGCGCCAGCAGCAGAAGCCCCCGCAGGAGGACTCGGGCGCCGGCTCCTCCTTCTCGGGCACCCTCACCATTAACAACCAGAGCCTGCTGGTGCGCTTCGAAAACGGCCTCCTCAGCCTCGGGGGCCCCGCGCCGCCTCAGTCCCCCAGCTCTGCCGCCGAGCCCTCCTCCCTTCCCGCCTCAGGGGGCGGCGGCGGCCAGTCTCGCACCGCCGCCGTCTACTCCTGCCCGGAGCCCCGCTGCGCCGAGACCTTCTCCCGCAAACAGTTGCTGCTGCTGCACCGGCTGGCGGCGCACGGGTTCCCGCCTCAGGGGGCGGCGGCGGCCAGTCTCGCACCGCCGCCGTCTACTCCTGCCCGGAGCCCCGCTGCGCCGAGACCTTCTCCCGCAAACAGTTGCTGCGGCTGCACCGGCTGTCGGCGCACGGCTCCAGCGCCCCGGCGGCGGCGGCGGCTCAGAATGGCGACGTGGAGGCCTCTGCAGGCTCCGGCCGCTCGGCGCGTCCCTTTTGCTGCCCGGTTCCTGGCTGCGCGTGGGCCTTCGCCACCGCCTACAAGTTGCGGCGCCACTTGCACTCGCACGACAAGCTGCGGCCTTTCGCCTGCCCCGCTCCCGGCTGCGCCAAGCGCTTCACCACCATCTACAACTTGCGGGCCCACGGCCGAGCCCACGAGCAGGAGGCGGCGCACAAGTGCGAGGCCTGCGGGCAGCGCTTCCCCAGCGCGGCCCGCCTCGGGGCGCATCAGCGGCGGAGCCATCTGGAGCCCGACCGGCCTTACCGGTGCGAATATCCAGGTAATGGGACCCCGGTGGCTCACGACGGCGTTTTCGGACCTGCCGCTCGGTCCGCAGGCGTGACTTCCTGGAAGGAAGGCCTTCTTAAAAAGGTAAAGGTTCCCTTGCTCGAAAGCCAGTCGAATCCGACTCTAGGGTTGCGGTGCTCATCTCCGTTTCAAAGCCGAAGAGCCAGCGCTGTCCGAAGACGTTTCCGTGGTCATGTGGCCGGCATGACTAAACACCAAGGCGCACGGAACGCGGTTACCTTCCCACTGAAGTGGTACCTATTTATCTACTTGCAATTTCTTGCTTTCGAACTGCTGGGTTGGCAAGGCTTTCTTAGCAAGGCTTAGAAATGGAGGTGCAATAAGGCCTCTCCGCAGCTTGTCCTATAGTAGCTTACTGCCATGGAGTAGGAATCATAACAAGAGCCATTTTTAAAAAACATAAAATGTTCTAGTCCTTGTAGGTTATGCAGTAGCATTACAGAATACGGAAATGCTTTAAGTAACTTCTGAGGGGTACTTGTGTGTGTTTGTAACAAAAAAAATGGTGGTGCCTGAAAGATGAATAAGATTATATGCCAGTGGAAGCTTTTTCATTTATTGTATGAATGTAATACACATTCTCCTTAGAGAATATTCAGATTTTGCTTGGAGTGTGCCTGTAGGAGTTGTGTCATGCTCCAGGCATTTACCTTCAGTTTATTGGCTGAATTGGCCACCATAACAGGAGGCTCAGCACTCGTTGCTCTGCTGGTAGGGGTGGGGTACTGACCTGAAGACTGCAGTGTTGCTGAAAGAACCTCCTTCCAGGTTTTGTGCCTCTGCTTCCCATGACTCTTTGGGCAGTTGTGAATTCCTGCTCCAGAACAGGGCCAATACAAACCTCATGGATGCCAAAGGCAGAGGATCCCCACACCATGCCACTGATCTGGGGCACACGTTTGGCTTTGGATACTTTTTGACAGCTGGCAGTGGGTCTTCTATGTGCCCAGTGCTTTATGCACAGGGAAGAAGTTGCTTGGATTTACCTAGAATGCTTCATACACATTGAGATTTCTAAAACCATCAAAAATGCACTAGGTGTACAGTGAAGAGTTTGGCACAACTTTGAAAAATCCTGAAGGTTGAGTGAGTAGAAGGTATGGATCGCGGGAACAGATCCCCAGACTGACTGGCTCAAGGTCACCTGGTGGGCTCCTTTGGATCCCCATTGGGGAGAAGGGCAGGGTAGAAATGGAGTAAATAAATAAAAAAGATCAAACAAACTGAGGGGAGAGATGTACCCAGCTGAGCTGATCCAGATACAGTAGTGGATATATCTGGCTGCTTCGTGCTTTTCTTCTGATAGCATCTTTGGTGGCGGTTGGATAATTTGCGTGTGAGGATAATTTATGTGTGGATGTGCACTTTTTCTTTTGTATTTCCTTCATCTGAAATCTGATGAGACACGTATGTTGTTATACCAGAAAAGAGCAAGAATCTAGTAGCACCTTAAAGACTAACAAAATAGGTGGCAGGGTATGAGCTTCATAAACCACTGCTCACTTCTTCAGATACAGCTAGAATGGGAGTCCATCTGTCCTATTTATTGGAAAGTGGACTGATTTCAGTTGCCGAATGACAATAGCAGGTATGATTTTATTTTGGTGAGATATGCAGAGGTGTGGAGAAATCAGCATTGGACAGGAAACCTAGGTCTCAATTCAGTCCAGGAGGATGCGTTGTCTTGAGCTTCATTATCAGTTGCAATTTAGCAGTCTCTTTTTCTGATCTCCCTTTGAAAGTCTTCGTAAGAGAACTGCTACTTTTAGGTCAGCAACTATAACACTGTTATAGTAATAATGCCAACACTAGCTAATCAGTTGAAACAACTTTACAGTGCAGTTCTAAGCTGAGTTGCATCCTTCTAACGCCACAAAAGTCAGCAGGCTTAAGAAATGGCTACAGTACATAGACTGGAAGATACAGTCAATTTAATAATGGCTTTTATGCTGTCTCCTGTCTCTCTTTTAATGGCCAAAACTGAAAGAGCCTTGTTTCAATTTCAACAATAAATTCACATTATTCTTAGGATCACATCAAATAACAGTTTCCTAACTTGGAAACATTCTGTGTAGGTTTAATTATAATAAGAAAAATGATTTAAATAAGTGATGAAATACAGACTGCATGACAACCCACATGGGAATGATTATATGTGATCCCCTGTAAGTTTGTTTTACTGCAATAAATGCCAGAGCTCACTGTACTGATAAGTACGAAGATGCAGTTTTGTTTTTTTCCTTCTGAGGGGTTCAGGGTGCCCTGCAAGGTTTAGTGACAGTGACTAGATTCAAAGGCTGGTGAGCTTTGTGAATGGAATCCAGGCTTCTCTAGTTCAAGTTCAACACTAGCCACTATGTGATAATAGTTCTGAAAATATTTTTTTATAATATTAAAGTAAATAAATGTATGCCATATTTTGTAGCAGCCCTGACTAGCCTGAGCTTCTCAGAGTTTGGAAGCTAAGCAGAGTTGGCTGTGGTCAGTATTTGGATTGGAGACCACCACCAAGGAAGACCAGGGTTGGTGTGCAGAGAAAGGCAATGGCAAACCACCCCTGCTCATCTCTTGCCTTGAAAACTCCATGAGGGGTTGCCATAGGTTGGCTGCGACTTGACAGCACTCCCAATATTGTTATATGTGATATTTTACCTTCAGACATTGGATGAGAAGATAGTTTCACAACACAAGGATAGATCCTTATTTGGGAAGCTGGATCAGATTTCTTCTTTTACAGTGCAGAATCTTGTGCAGAGTTACTGTGGTCTAAAGCCATTAATTTCAGCACAGGATTGCACATTGTGTCTATCTAACACCCCCCCCCCCAATGATTAATCTGATGTTTTAAGGAATCTTAAAGGCAGAGCACATTTGCCCCCTCTGTTGTCTGTCTTCACCATGTAGAATTGGAGATTTAATGCCAAGGTCAAACCACCAAAGTTTTTAAAACACACGTCTTATGCCTTTGTGCTATATAATAAGGTTACAGTGGGGTGCTGTCATCACAGAGTCTTTCATTTCATTTGAATATTCCTGATGAGACAAACATGTACCCATTACTGCAGTGAGAAAATAAAGACTAGCATGCTAATGAGGAAGCCTGCAGTCCAGGTCTCACTGTGTGCATACTTTGAAAGAAAGGAAAATTACTGTGTAGTAGTACAGAAGTTGTTACAGCAGATACTGATTTAAAGCAGTATAGTAATATTGGGACCAAACTTTAGCTGGAATCAGTTTCTTTGCAGTTGTCTTAGAAATGTGATTATCACCGCACCAGTAGCTTTTCTAGGTTGTTGTTGAAATCTCATGACAAGTTGTGTTGTTGCTTCTGCTGTTCCCTAAGATCCAATTTGCTTGTTCCCTCTTTCTCCAGGTTGTGAGAGGACTTTCATAACAGTGAGTGCATTATTTTCCCATAATCGCGTCCATTTTAGAGAACAAGAACTGTTCTCCTGCTCTTTCCCAGGATGTAGCAAGCAGTATGACAAAGCCTGCCGACTGAAAATCCACATGAGAAGTCACACAGGTGTGAAGCTTGGTCATTGGTTACTGTTGGCAAGTAGCTGCTTTATAAAATATTTTTGTTGAATTAAATGGTGCTCTGCTTATTAGACACTTTAAGGAAACCCAAATCATTGCAACTGAAATACTTTCTCATAGAAATTGCAGCATTGAGTGCTTGTTCCTGTTTGAATTAAGTCCTACTATTACCGTATTGTCCTGGGTTACCTTCAATGCGCCCTCTAAGCTGTGGAGTCTTGTGAGCAAAAATTCTACTTTGTGAGCTACTGGCATTAAAGTTGTGAGCGAGCGGTTTGGCTGCTGCATAAATTAATTTGCTGTGGAGCCATCCTTCCTGAGCTAAGACAAAAATGTATGAGTGGGAGGCTAAAAAACTGTGAGCTAGCTCACACTAACTCAGCTTAGAGGGAACACTAGTTACCTTAGTTGTTCACAACCTGAGTAGCATGTAATTTACAACTAAATAAATGGGCAAATTGGCATAAATGAATGGTAGGTGATGAATAGAGGAAAGAGTTCTGTGTTCAGTTTAATTTATTACTATAGGCCCTGGTCTCACGGGCCGGATATCGTGGGGGGAAGGCGTGGCTAATTGCCCTGGCACAGTTTGATCCACGATTATGCGATCAGATGCGCCAGCGGCACACCACGGGTCCTTTCCTCCGCGCCGGCGGGTAAACAAGGGACCGGAGGGGAATGCTGCGCGCTGGAGCGATCACACCACAGGCGTCTGAAGGCAGCCCGTGGCAAACGTTTACTTGTACCATTGTCGGCAGTAAGCCACAGGTGCGCTCCACTTCCCAGATGTTGGGGTGTGATCGCGCCCGGATAATCCGCCCACCATCCGTGCCTCTCCCATGCCAACTTTGTCATGTGACCGGGGCCATAGTGAGGCTTCCATGGATTTGGGGAACTGTCATTTGCAAATTCACTTGAGTGGTATTCTTTAAATAGCCTTGCAGTCTTTAACTCACCAGATCCAAGTAGTTTTCACTCTTGTCAGAGGTGAGCCAAGGAAGCTGTATACAAGACTGGCTGTATCTAGTGTTAACTCTAGGAGGGATGATCCTGGCAGAATGGGCAATAGATAAATATCATGTGGGACAGCTTACCTGTGAATTTTTTTTGTTGATTCCTGGTTATAGGTCTTAAAGCAGGTAACTGTGTAAAGCAATACTATCAATAAATGCCATTAAATGCTGTCATCAGCTAAGTGAAACATAAAGGCATCAGGGTTGTGAACCCCTAAATTATTCTGGAGAACTGTTGACAGCAAATGTTTCCCATTTTTCACTTGATAAAGTATGGTAAGTTGTTTTTTTTTTTTTGTTATAGGTGAAAGGCCTTTCATTTGTGATTTTGAAGGTTGTGGCTGGTCTTTCACCAGCATGTCCAAGCTATTAAGACACAAAAGGTAAAGTTCTTGGTTAAATATCATTGATGTTTTGCACATGAAGATTATAATTAGAATAGCATGAACATTATATCTGGTTGTTCACATAGTTGAAAAAATAGGTTTTGCAATCTAAACTTTGACAGTGGGGGGGAGGGTAGATGCTGTAATATGTAAACGGATGTTTCACTTGGGAATGGGGCATGCATCTTATGAATGAAAAAAGAAATACAATGATTTTAAGTGTTGATGCTTTTAGTAATATACCTTAAAGTGAATCAAGTACATATGCTTAATGTCAGTCAATCAGTCCCATTAACACCTAATTTTCTCTAGGTTGTGCTGTTGGTGCTTGATATTAATATAAAATTTTGATTTAAATTTTTGCTATAGGAAACATGAAGATGACAGGCGATTTACATGTTCTGTAGAAGGCTGTGGAAAATCCTTCACAAGAGCAGAACACTTGAAAGGCCATAGTATCACCCACCTTGGCACAAAACCGTTTGAGTGTCCGGTAGAAGGTATTAACTGAACTTAAGATCCTATAGGCATGTCTCCACTTCCTTGGATTCCTTTCATGCATTGAAGACAAAAGTAGATGTGATGGAAGCAAACCTATGTGTCAGGATCAGGGAAAGGGGAGGTGTAAAGTTCAGTAAGGGTAGGAGGATAGAGTGAAAATCTTTTGACCTGTACTTGTTACCAGAGGTAGACCTCACCAGGAAAAGGGTTTCTCCCCCCCCCCTCCAAAAAAAAGCAGTTTTGGGCTACAGAATGAAAGTTGAAGGATTCAGATCCCATTCAGTTCATAATGTGCATAGAAGCTGTCCACCCTCCTCCCCTTGTAAAAATGTGGTGCAACCTGGTTTGAGTTACACTGCAGTTGGGCCCAGTTTGGTCCTTAGTTGCATGGAAGTTCAGGGGTTCCTGAAGCATTATTGCTTCTTGAATAGAATATTTGCAGTGCCATCCTAAATTGCAGTGGACTAAGAAAGGTGTAACTTTCCTTAGGATAGTGTTTTTTAGAGCAATCCTAAGGAGGCCTACTCAGAATCCTACTAAAGTCAGTGGGGCTTACTCCCAGGAAGATGTTCTTAGGAGTTCACTGTTAGTCTGTCAGAAAGTTTCAAATAATTAGTGGAATTGGAATTTGGAGTCTCTTGTGAAGTTAAGATAATCTTTACAGGTTTTACATGGCCCTTCCACTTGAGGAATAGTTACTACACTTCTTAAATGCACCTACCCAACATAGTCCCCCCCCCCTGCTCTTCTGTATGGACAAAGGGTGATTTGCATGCATATATACAATTCAGGATTGCTATTACCATTCTTCAGCTTCTTGGTTGTGTGTTACCTGACAAGCTGATTAGCATCTTCATTAAGTATTAATTCTACTTTTTAAAATTATGCTGTTTTCAGTCCATACCAAGGATCCTTGAAGTGACTTTTGATTATAATGAATGAAATAAAACAACATTTTAAAATTGCCAGTAACACAGCAGTCAACAAAAGCAAAGGCAGATCCAAACAAAACATTTAGCAGTAATCAGCAAGGACTAAATAGAAGATCTAGCAATGTTCAGTGACCACGGTAAAACACAAATGAAATCAGCAGTGTCTTGACTTAGCCTTTAATGGAGAGAGTAGGGAGTTCCAAAGGTTGGATCCCATCAGTGAAAAAGCACAGGACATAAGGTGTGGCATTTATTCAAGAGTGTTGACAACATGAGAAGGAAAAATGTAGATAGTGGTGTGGTGAAACCGAAAATGTAGAGTTGAGAGTCCCTGAGACTTGCAGGCTCATGGGAAACTTCTGCAGCATTAAATTGTGTGGCAGATAGCTGCTGGGGTTGTTTGGCATGTTGGGCAGCTTTGCTTACATACATACAGTTCTTAGGTTTCAATAATTTTGTATTGCACTGTAATTGCTTTGTCCAGTAGAGGTTATGATACCCACCTTCTGTAAATAATAAGTATGGAAGGGATTCTTTAATGTAAACCTAATGTCAACTAAAGGATGACATTTGATGGCAGGAAATTTGTTGATCAGATCTTGTGTAGTTCTTTAAAACAATAGCTGTGGAGAGAATTGGAGTGGGGCTGTGGCCTTGAGAAGAAATGCTTGTGCTTCTGGTGTATCAGTGACCTAGGTAGCATATCATGTTCAGTTCTTTGGGTGTGCTAAAATTGGTGTGTGAGCAGTTTTCAATGCCTTTGGCTTTTTTAAAAAAATAACCCATGTTAAGTATATTCTGTATTTAATTTTTACAATAATATTCCATTAAAATTGCCACAAAGTTTTGAGGCATGAAATTAACATGGTATATTTAAAAAAATGTATTTACTACATGGGAGTCAAAGTGAACAATGCCATTTTGGTGCAGTGGTTAAATGCGCGGACTCTAATCTGGGAGAACCGGGTTTGATTCCCCACTCCTCCACTTGCAGCTGCTGGATGACCTTGGGCAAGCCACAGTTCTGTCAGAGGTGTTCTTGAAAGAGCAGTTCTCAGCTCTCTCAGTCCCACCTACCTCACAGGGTGTCTGTTGTGGGGAAGGGAAGGGAAGGGGAAGGAGTTTGTAAGCTGCTCTGAGACTCTGAGTGAAGGGCGGGATATTAATCCAATCTCTTCTTCAGTGCTCAAAGAGATCATACTCTTTTGAGGGAATTGTATAGTATTCTGGAAAATTTTCCAGTTCTACTGTAAATTTTCCATTTTTCTGAAAAGCCCACATCACTGATCATTGATCTCTAGCCATCCTTATTCAGTTGAACCTAGTAGAATGTAATTTTCAATGGCTGAAAATGTTTAAAGAATATAATAGATCATAAATGAAGAAAAGAGCTGCATCTAAACATACATATCTTATTTTAGGTTGTTGTGCAAAATTCTCCGCACGCAGTAGTCTGTACATTCACTCCAAAAAGCACCTTCAGGATGTGGACTCATTGAAGACCCGCTGCCCTGTATCTAGCTGTAATAAACTGTTCACTTCCAAGCATAGCATGAAAACGCATATGGTCAAACAACACAACTTCAGTGCAGGTATTATCTGTGGAGTATTTAAATATATCTGTAGTTGTTTAAATGTATCTGTTATCTATGCAATGAATCATTGCAAGACTGTGCAGAGAGCCAGTTTGGTGTTGTGGTTAAGTGCGCGGACTCTTATCTGGGAGAACCGGGTTTGATTCCCCACTTCTCCACTTGCACCTGGCTGGATGACCTTGGGCAAGCCGTAGTTCTGATAAGAGTTGTTCTTGAAAAAGAGCAGTTTCTGTCAGAGCTCTCTCAGCCCCACCTACCTCACAGGGTGTCTGTTGTGGGGAGGGGAAGGGAAAGGAGTTTGTAAGCCGCTCTGAGACACCTTTGGGTAGTGAAGGGTGGGGTATAAATCTAATCTCCTCCTCCTATTCTTCTATCTGAAGCCCAATCTTTTGAAAACGATTATTTGTCTTCTGACAGAATAATGTGATGTGCAGTCCTATGTGTTTTTAATTTGGAAATCTCACTATACTCAGTGGTAAAAGGTACATAGCGTTGCAGCCTCAAAGGTGCTTTAAAAGTCAAAAAACGTTATGTAGAATTTGCATTTCTTTCTTCTAAAGCCTTGATGCATTCTTGCTGAAGGTTTGGTATCCCTTTAGAAGAAATTCAGTATATATCTGCTCTTTCTAACTTATGAGACAATCTGGCTGTTAACTCGGGCATTTATAGGGACGATCTGAGTGTTCCTCAGGCATCATACCCTTTCTGCTGTATGCTTTAGGGCTGATTCATGTGTATTGTACTGGCTTGGTTGCCACTGAAAATTGCTTCTGTGTAGTAAAAGCTCCATGTAGCTTTAGAAACATTTGAATTGGCATTCCGTATGGTCAGGTCAAATTTATTTATTAATTAAAACATTTATATCCTACCTTTCCTTGTGATTCAAGGGAGCTTACAGTAATAGTTAAAAATATTTTCAGTTTAAAATAAAAAAAATAGCACACTGGAAATCTGTCACCCCCTTCCCCCCCTTAAAAGATGCTTGTCCCTCAAAACCCCTGGCAAACAGACAGGTCTTGCAGTGCCTGCCAAAGATCTCCAAGGACTGGGGCCCCCTCATCTCTTCGGGGAGCCCACTGAATAGAGCCAGAGATGGAAAAGGCCTGGGCTCCGGTCGGTGCCAGATGGGCCACATTAACTGCCTGACAAATGTAGTCGGTGCACAGGGACATATGGAATGAGGTGGTCCTTCAAATATGTGGCTCCCAGGTCATGAAGGGCTCCAGTACCTTGAATTGAACTCAGAAACAGACTTGTAACCAATGTAGTTGTTTCAAAATGGGCAGCATATATTCCTGGCAGCTAGCCCCTGACAATAGACTGCTAGATTCTGGACCAATTGTTGTTTGATGGTTGTCTTCAAGGGCAGCCCCTTGTGCGGTTGGTGCCCATTCCAGCCCTGGGGAGATGTGACACTAGCTGATATATTTTCCATTCAGTAGCATGAAGTTGAAACAAAACACAAAACATTTAACATATGAAAATGGTTTGGAGCAGCACACCACTGGATTACGTATGAGGTGGCCCTTTATTTCTCACCAGTGAAATGGAAGGAAATGAAAATGTCCTGAAACAATAGCATAATAAGAATTTCCTTTGGCTTTGGAAGTAGTAAGAAAGAGTTGTTGACTGTATTGAGTATGGCAGTTTGCTGAAAAAAGTGTGTAGGGGGTGGATCTTTAGTCAAACTGAAAGAACAATTTATTGTTGGCAGTTGTCTTCAAGTCCTGTGGTGTTGGTATTTTAAAGTGTTCCAAATATTTCTTTCAGATCTCTTAAATCAAATGGAAACTATCAGTTCCCTGACGCCTAGCAGTGAACTCACCAATTCAGGGCAGAGTGACCTCAGCAATATAGACCTTGTGTCCCTCTTTTCCGGTGTCTCTGGGAGCAGTTCTGGAATTTCGACTGATATGGCTCTGATAAACTCTGGAATTCTTACTATAGATGTTGCTTCTGTGGGCTCCACCCTTGGGGGCAATCTTTCTGTTGGTAGCAATTCTCTTGGTCAGACAGTTGATCCACTGATTTTAGTGGCTAGTAGTGACATTCCACACAGCCTGGACAGCTCTCTTCTCTTGGGAACCAATGCCACAGTTTTACAGCAAAGCACTTTAAATCTGGATGATGTACAAACTGTAAATGCAGAGGACTTAGGCTCACTAGCTTCGTTGTCCACAAAGAATTCCAATCAAGATCTGCATGGTTTGACCTCCAGCAATAACCTTTCTGTAGACACAGCCACTTTAACCCCTTCCAGCAACCTTGGTGGAAACAATGCTCCTGAATTACTGGCTCCAAGTAAAGCGGAACAGACTTTGCTTCCTAGCCTGGATGTTGTGGGACAGCAAGAAGGCAGCAAAGTGGTGACTCAGTTTGTGTTCTCCAACCCTCCAGGAAGTTACAGTGCGCAGAAAGAAACTGATCTGAGCATGGTGACTGGCAGCTCTTTTCTGGTATGCAGTAACTCTCAGTAACTCTAGTTTTCATTAGTATCTTAGCTTTGAGGATATTATGTTGCCGTGTATGAACCAGCCTTTCTACTATATCAAATGGGTTTATGGAATGTCTGCCCTGAATGAAGTCGCCGTGTGTTTTGTACAATGTAAGTGGCATAAATTGCAGTTGCCTGTAAAATTACTGAATCCAGTTAAACGCTGTACACTTGAATGAGATAGTACAAGTATTTTCCCAGCTGGGGTTTACTGCAAGCACGTCTCTCCACAGCTTGTTGTAAGAACCTATAACTACGTGGGCTCGATGAGGAAAAGGATGCACTGCTTGTGGAGCAAGAAGGAAAATGCTCTGAAAAATGAACGCTCATGTCACACACAATTGTTTAAATTGGTTTGAATGTTAACATTGAAATTGAGCCCCTCTAAACTGAAGTAGGATTAAATACTGGGAGCTGCATGAAACAATTGTGTGTAGGATTTGGAAGGATTTGGAGAGAGAGGATTAAGTATTTAGCTTGCCTTGCAAGTTCCCTGAACAGAAAGATGGGATAGGAGTACTTTAAATACAAACAGTCTTGAGCTACATACTTCATGTGTATTAAATTCTGGATTGCAGACTTTGATGGAAAGCTGCTCAGTGCTGTTTGGAAAAGTGCATATGCTTTCTGAATAGAAGCCTAATGTGAAAACATAGTCTCCCTAGTTCTGGTGATACGCATAAACCTTCTTCTCTCATTAGGAGAGTGGTGGGTCTGCAAGAACTGATTATAGAGCCATTCAGCTTGCCAAGAAGAGAAAACAGAAGGGAAACGGGAGCGATATAGGTGAGTAAATGACCTGCTCTGCTGAAACAGTTTCAACGTGATATAAGACTAGATGTTTGAAGATCAGTAAGAACTTTCACACATTATAAGCCTATGCAATGAATGCACGTGGCAGCAATTTTATGTCTGTGTAAATATGCAGTAAGGGAGAAAAGGGCACAATTGAATTGTGGTTCTAAGTTTTCTTTGCTTTTCTGTTTTACCTTAAATGTATTTTTGTATGTATACTAGTAGGAAAGCATATAGGTTGTCTCCACAGTGGGAGCTTCAGTATGTCTCTGTAGGATGTGTGTATGTGCATGAAGAACCTATTGTAAATGAGACAGAACCATGAGTAGCACTTCTCTTCACTTAGGGTGCGTTCAGATGCGGCATTTGTAACGGAATAGGTGACAATTCCAACCGGTGTACTTACCGGCGTTCACATGGCGAACATCTGCCTCCCGTCCCTAACCGTTACAAAGCCGTTTACACCGTTGTACTCTGCCACTAGGTTCCAAGTGGTGGTAAACAGAGTGCAACGGTGGCTTCCGATACAAACCGGCGTCTGATCGCTCTCCACCGGTTCCTAGCCACTTCCGTCGGAAGCCTGTGGCTTCCGGCTTTCCCCCTTACTTTACCGTCCCGGAGGAGTCCGGGACTGAAACGAGGCCAGGTTGGGCTTTAAACTTTAAAGGTAAGTGCTTACCTTTAAAGTTTAAATGTAAGGGGGGGGGGTTGAGCATGCGCAAAAATCGCCATTCTCTGAATGGCTGCCTGTGCGCATGCTCAAACAGTCCTTTAAAAAAAAACACAAACGCCGACGCCCACAGCGTGTGAGCGGGCATCCAACGGAGGGCTCCGCAAAATGGAGGGTGAGTATGAACGCGTTTCTGCCGGCATAAACTGCACCGGTTCCAACCGGTGCAGTTTCTGCCGGCAGAAACGCCCCGTCTGAACGCACCCTTAGTGTTACATCCAAAGCCCTTAGTTTTAGGAGTTTGCTTATTCTGGATGAGTTGATCGTGTGTGTGTGTGTGCGTATGCCCCTAAGAACAGGTTTATGGCAAGTAGTAGGGGGTGGTAGTTTTATTAAGCCTATGTACCAGGCTCATGGCTGATGTGAAATCTGAACCAGGGGTGACTTGGTTCATAGTTCAGTCTTTATCTGCTGTGCTGCAGTAAACTTTCCCATTTCTGTGCCCTTTAATAAAATACATTTTGAGTTAATTCTGTTTTTTAAAGATCTGAATTTAAAGTTGTTTAGCCTATATGCAAACAGTAGGGTTTTTCTTTTTCTTTTTTTCCTTTTTTAAGAGCTGGAATGTGTTGAAAGAGGGATTGAAAGATGTTTTGCAGGGTTTTTTTTTCTTTTCTGAATAATGTTGACTTTATGGAGAAGACTGTTTCTAAGTCTGGGTAATAAAACATTCCTTAAGATTACTATTAAGTAGATGGTTTCTGTTTTCAACTCTTTAACTTTTTAATTTTCCTGACAGCCAAAAACTCAGATTAGGATGCAGTGGTTTGCTTCTCCATCCTTATTATTCGGTATATTTGTAACAATTGTTTGAATAATAGTCAGACATTTATACTTCCATAAAATATAACAGTATTGTTTTATGTGCTTAACTTATACATAATGTACATATGTTGTTAAAACAGTGGAGTGCATTTAAATCTTGGAAATATTGCTTTGTAAATATTTCATTTTATCCTTAAGGGGTAGGTGACAGAGGCTATTGTGAAAAGGAAGGAGACTTGTGATAAACAGCTATTTTTAAAGAAAATTTGGTTTTTTTGCCACTATATTTTCTTATGCCTGCACCCCTATTAAGCATTTATTGCTTCAAAACTGGTAATTTCTAAATAAATTTAATCTGAGAGGTTTATTTCAGTGTATCTGTGTGATTGATGTAGTCCATGAACTTGGCAGGTGTCACTTTTTATACATGCCCAGTAATTTCACAGCATTATGGTTAAATAAATGAATCTATAATCTTGATAATGTGTAATATATATAACCTCTCTTATATGAGATGTGCTTGGACTGATTATGAAATCAGCTAAGGACAGAGCTTTGACCATCCAGCTCCAGAATTTCTGTAACATGAGACATCACTGTTTCTTGATGTGATAGATTTAATGTGCCACATTTTGTATTTAAATGGGTTAGTGCTTTTAGGTAGAAAAATTTATTGTTCCTATGCAGAGATGTTTCCCCTCCCTAATGTATTATTTAGAAATACAGCTTACCCAGCTACAACTTTCTTGGGCATTTGGCTTTTTATTACACGTACATTGATTGTATTTCAGGAGCCCCTACCTCTGGCATAAGAAAAAGCAAAGGAGATAAAATCAGTTCTAGCCATGGGACTCGGTTGTGTAACAGTGTTTTGCCAAATGGTGGCCTACCAGTAAGAGAATCATCAGCTGCCTCACAGTATGGTCAGATTCAGCTACTTCAGGTAAGAATTCACAGGAAAAATAATAATTATTTTTTTAAAAAAGAAATACTCTAAAACTGTTTCAGCTTCTAAAAGGAATGGATGATTCTCACTGTTTATCATAGTATGTAATTCAGTGTGGTCCTGTTGAGATGAACTCATGTTCTGCTGACATGAAACAGTGCTGTGCATCTAGTCATTGGCAGATTTCATGTAGCAGGACTTTTTTGCTTCCCTCTCCTGATGCAGCCCACTGAATCTCCCCCGGTTTTGTTTTGGAAAGGGTGGGGGTGGCAGCAGGTCTTTTTCTGTATATGAAAATACCATTCCATTAAGAGGATCTGCATGAGTGGATATGTGCCAGTGGGATTAGGAGTACGTACTAAAAGCAGCAAATGGGGCAAAAAGCACGCAAGCAAATATTTGGGATGTCCAAGTGGGAAAGTAAAGGGGGAGGCAGTGTGGCGGAGAAGGGGATTCTCTTCTAAAATAAATACAGCTCCTGCGTTATTGCATAGGGATTAATACCACCACCAGTGAAGGAGCAATCTTGTGAGAATCTGGTTTAGAAAAGGGCTTTATTAGGGGAAAATAAATTGCTCAATAGAATTACACATAATTGGCTTTTCTCTCAGAAGAGGGACAGTGGCTTTGTCTAGTTAGATTTGAGTCCAGTAGCCCCTTAGAGGCCAACAAGAGTTTCATGGTGTAGGCTTTCAAGAGTCAGAGCTCTCTTCATCATTGTCTAGATAGCATTTCAGTATGTTTTGTGTTTCTATGTAACATCTAGAGGATAATGCCCATTGTAGAGTAAACCAGATAAAAACTATTGCTACTTTCATCTACCTATATGAATCCCAAGTTATGCAGTTTTGGCAGCTTATTGTGAATATACACAGTTTCATAGAAACTAAGATAATGATTTCCAGTACATGACTGTGGTATTATTTCTGTGCCTTTTCATAGGAATTCGGGGGTGTCCCAGTTTTTGAATAGAGAAAAAAATTCAATGCCTAGCTAGTAAGGCACATTACTATTTTCAGACGCTTCCCCATTTTAAAATTCTGCAAGGGAGCAGGGCTTATTTATGGCTAGAAAATTAACTTGATTTTTATTTCTCCTTAGGATGATTCCCCAGGAGAGGGAGATCTTCCATTCCAGCTCAGCTCTCAGTCCTCCTCGTCACATTCGCAGCTGACAGTAGACTTGCCTGTTCATATCCTTCAGGTATAGCACGTTCATGTTGAAAAGCTGGATATTAAAAGAAACGGTTGTTTGGCTTTAAAAAGTAGCCAACTAATACACATTTGCAGTAATGTGCCCCTTTTATTCTGTCCAGGGATAGCGCTGGACTCTGAGCCGCTGCCACTACTAGTAAGGCTGCTTCCACAGCCAGTGCCAGCTGAGGCTCAACCTCAGAGCAGCCCTAACAGGATGTCAGCACCAGCAGACAGAGAGCCATCCGGGCCCAGCAGCAGCCCAGATACTGAGGCCTGGGGAGGGGTAGGCCTGGTGAAAGTAGGGGCAGGCCCGAAGGGTCTCTGATATATTCTAGCCAGCCCTAGGACATAACCAGTTGGAGGGGTGGTTGGAGGAGGAAGGAAAGGCTGTAGGCAACCTTGCAGTAGGAAAGGGTAATCTCTACTCTCCAGGAATAAGGCCAGGTGTGGTTGGCGAGGTGAGGATTGGCAGGCAGGGGTATGTAGGGGGGAGCTAGACAGCCTTTTTAAAATGGGCTCATAGGCTGAGGAGGAAGGAAGAGCACAGCTCTGGAAGACCTGCTGTCTTGGAATAGAGAAGGAACCAGGTGAAGCAATCCCCTTCTCTTCCCATTCTTCCATTCTGAAGTCTTGGGAGACCCACTAATGGGACTCAGTAGGATAGCTGAAGACTGGCCAACAGAGCTGGAGAAAGGAGAGCTTCACAGATTGGTTGACTTAAGTTTATGTTGGTGGTAGTCTTTTTCTTAAAGCAATTTGTCATTTTCTGCCTTCATAATTTTGGATGAGATTTTTTTGTGCAGGTAAAATTTCCAGTAGGTGCTTATCAGAGAACTTGAATTTTTGTGTATGAAGTGAAAGAGCTGCTGTGAAAGTCTTGTGTGAATTGTTTTTCACTTGCTTTGAACAGGAGCCCCACAATTCCACTGAAGAGGATGCTAGTTCGGATAATTCTCAGTTTACAGGAAGCACAATTAATCTGCAAGACCTGGAATGATAGTCTCTGGAACAGAAACATTGAACTGTTTAAAAAGTGCAGTGGTGTCTTGAGAACAAAGGAGTATGTTTCTGCTTTTAAAAGCAAAAGTGAAAATATGGGAGCACACACTCATCAGTACTACCTTGTGGTTTGCTTGATGGTCACAGTGCAATGCAAAACCTGTTCAATTTTATTTGATAAGGCTCTTGAGAATTTTGATATGTTCTCTCCAGTGGTCACGAAAAAGGTGGTTAAATGTGTGTGAGGTCTTATTTGGGTTCTGCCATAGATGTTTTGAAATAGGTCCTTGGATTGGGGTGTACTAGAACAAATATCCTCAGTAATACTTTGACTAACACAATATCAACATACTAATGAACAGTTATGCTTGGCTGTTTTTCCTCTGTGTTGATACAAGTAAGTGATGATTGATGTCCCAAGCTGAATATAGAACTAAAATGGAGGAATAAGGGTGAAGACTGCTTTTTGTTAACAGTGTTGAAAAGTACAGTTGTAAGGAGACTAATCCAGAGAAAAATAGTGCAATGCTTGACAATAGTGCACATTGAAACAGAGCTAAATAGTTTCTTGTTGCCGCCATCCCTGATAATCTGCTTTATTCTTCAGCAGATCTTGGATATGATAGCTTTACTACCTACTCTGCAAAGAGTAGCCAGTTCATGATCACCTCAGATCTTAGAAGACAAGTGAAAATGCCTCACTTTGCTCTTTAGGAGGCTTTTTTGTAGGTGGTAATTCCTACCCTTTCAATTATGTTTACAGTAATACAAAAACAGTATTGCCAATTAATATGAAGCCACCACTTTCTAATTACATACTGCCCAATTCCATGCAAGTTTATTCAGAAGTAAGTTTTGCTTGAGTTCAATGGAATTTCCTTGGGAGTCAGAGTCCTTATGATTGCACCTTGACCTGTTCACCATTAACAAATTTGCTGAGCCACACAGAACTTTCAGATAGTGGAATTCACCTAATCATAGGACTGTGTAAAATCATCATTCAGCAACATAGATTAAAGACTGGAACACAACATTCATTTCATGGTGTGCCCAAATGACTATAAAATTTTAAATAGGATCTTGTTAGAGCATGGATTTTGGTGTCTGTGGATTTTTATTCCCACTGAGTGTGGCTGCATATATGCCTCAGTTTTATCCAAAGCAATAGGTCCTACAGATGATCACTTTATAACCCTGAGTTTTCATATATTTATTTGCAACTGTGGAATGCAGTAAGAACTAGGGATGGTGACTGTCTGGGAACAAACGTTCACAGATTGATCCTCTGCCCCACTGTTTTCTGCATTAAATCAAATGCTTGCCAGGTTCGGGCACAGTTCAGAATGTGAGTGCCCTATTTGCTGCCTCTTCACTTCTCCCACCCAAACTTACCTAAGGACAAGAGGCAATGAAAAGAGGTTAATGACAGGGCTTCCATGTAGGCCTTTAGAGGACAATGGTGGCAGTATCTTAGATTCTGGGAACTCTTATTAGAGATGCCAGGAAGTCTGTCATTCTTAGAACCAGGAGGAGATAAGATTTGGTCTAGTCTTGGTCTCAAATACTTCATTGGGAAGATGAGGCCAGGATGGGCTTGGAAATAGAAATGTAAAAGTATTAATATTTATTATTTTGGGGGATGAATCTTTGCACCTGTTACACATTTGGGAGTCACTTGTTTAAAATGTGGTAATTAATTCCTGTGCCTTTTGCCCATTTAAAGGACAATGCAGTTCTTTGGGACGGAAATAATTTTACAGATTAGCTCACTTCAGATTCTAATTTTCTGTATTATCACTAAAAATGTAATCTTCATGAATTGGCTTGATCTTGCATTGCTGGTGTTGTATGCTGTCTGACTAGTGGCTGGAACTGATCCTATACTTCAGTTTGCAACTTGTGCATAAATTATTTTTCATGTTTCTGAGATGAAGTCTTTAAAGCCAGAAAGATGAAGATACTCTCTCAAGCCTTTTTAAAAAAATTACTCATGTTTAAGAGAAACTAAAACCATGAGAGTCTTTAAAAAACAACAACCTATAGCATTGAAATAATAGTTTGGGACATGTTATCCCCTGTCACCTCAGGCTCTTAACTTGGTGGAATGGTTCACATGCTTACCTGGCCAATAAGCAGTCTTTGTGGTGGTGCCCTGTTGGCAAGCATCAGAGGTAGCGTCAGTGTGAAGCTGGCATACCATGTCGCTGTGTGCCTAGGCCTAACCCACACAATAGTCTGTCTTCCCACCATTTTTTTGAGGGGGAAGAATGATTCTCTTTAGACATACTCATGGAGTACAGATCCAACATATTACCTTTGATGCTTGGTGTTGGGGGTAGAGCCTTACTCTACCATGTGACGAGGATCATTGGCTGGGTAAAAGTGTGAACTGGACCCATCTAAAGTGGTGCTCCTTTTTCTTTTTTTAAAGTCATTGTTTTTATGGGGTTTGTAATGGTGTACTTCTAATACGTTTATTTACTTGGCTTTGTAAATCCTTGTAAATTTCTAATGGCTTTGAGGGTAAGCTAGCATCAAATTTATTCCAGCAAAGTCCATTGCTGGCAGTGGACACCTAAAAATGCTGAGATAAAAGGAATAATAAAAACTAATGTCCAGTTCTTCATTTTAGCAGGGGTTTTGTTCATCTTGTATTCATTTCTGTGCAGTATGTTTACTACAACAAAACAGATTCTTAAAATCTTGGAAGTTTTCAAGTTTAAAGCTCTGAAGAAACACTCAAAATCCCTACATACTTTGTCACTTTCATTTTTAACACTTGCCAAATTCAGTGCTGAAATGAAACCATCTGATTGGAGGCTAGGATTTTCTTGCAATCTCCCTAATCTTGTTTTTGTTAATTATTTATAAAAGGACAAAACTGAAGGGGTTTGAGTTGAAGCTTAAAGCAGTGTAGAAATGGTGGCTTTTCTGGCTTTGGATTGGATTAGTTGGGTTACTAAAAAAAGGAAAATTAGGTTTTGTTACCTTGAAACATTTATTTAATATATAACTGACTAAAAACCCCAAGCCCCGATCTCCAAGCAGTCTGTACTACTGTTACATGCTTTATGCTCACTGCAGAACTTCAGAGTCTCATGTCAAATTGCTAAGTGAAGTAGTACAGCAGTTCTTCCTTTTCCTTGTCAATCAGTCCTAGATCCTCATCTTCCTTCTCCTTGAAGGCAGGGGGCTCTGAGCGGAACACCAGTCTTCTGCCAGTCTGAAAAGATACAGGAAAAGCAGGCCCAAGATCTGCTAGTGTTTAGGGCTTAATTTGTAAATGCTGATAGCTGAAACCATTTTTTAAAAACTACAAGCTAATATTTTTTTTAAAGAAATGGATGTTTTAAAATATGTCCTGAAGTACAGCTATGAAAGTTAAGACAGCTACCTATCTTCACTCTTGCCTAAGGAGCCTCCTTCTAAATTAAGTGGCTCTTTCATTTTAGGAAGAAACAAATTAAGTTGGAAGCAAGTTCCAGCTCCTGCCAACCTAGCAGTTCGAAAGCAAGAAATTGCAAGTAGATAAATAGGTACCACTTCAGTGGGAAGGTAACAGCGTTCCGTGCGCCTTGGTGTTTAGTCACGCCGGCCACATGACCATGGAAATGTCTTCGGACAGCGCTGGCTCTTCGGCTTTGAAATGGAGATGAGAACCGCAACCCTAGAGTCAGATTCGACTGGCTTTCGAGCAAGGGAAACCTTTACTTTTACCTTTTTAAGTTCCGTTTAGCTGGAGGAAGGCTCACTGGAGTGGTGAGATGAATGTCACTTTCAGTGTTTCCTTCTCCATTTCCACCTAAAGCGGAATGGGGTTTAAAAGAAGGGCGAGCTGTTCCAGCAGTCACATCCAGCAGAAAAAAACAGGGCAGCCCTAACTCGCTGTTTCTTCCTCACCAAAACTGGACCCCTCTGTAACAGGAAAGATTTGTGAATCGCTGCAAAGGCTGCCTGTTTTGGCTCCTTCCTTGCTCACCACAACCACACATTTGATTACTTTAAAATTAAACCTGTGTAGAACAGTTTTTTCCATCCATCACTTCTGTTGCTCTTTTATGAGTCTGTTCCATGATTTTTATATTATTTTACTTAGTGGGAGAATATTCTCATGTCGTGACAATCTGAAACACAAACATCTTACCCTTTAAGAGTAGTAATGTACTGAGTCAGACCTTACCCTCTGTGTAGCTGCAGTCCAATTAAATTAGAGTTACAGAACACTGTGTATTTAAATTAAGTTAAAATTCTGAAAGCTCATGCACAAAATACCAAAGGTTCCTGGGCTTACCTTTCTCTTAACTTCAGCCTGTGCTCTTGCCAGGGCTCGCTGCAACCTCTCCTCCTGCAGCGCTCTCTGCTGTCTTATCTTTTCTTCTCTCATCCTGTCAAAATTGAAGCCGTAGATTTAGAGACAGGTGTGTCAGCCACATATATGAGTTCAGTGGCAAGGGTTCAGAGAGGGCCCTTTGTGTATGCACGTGGGGGGTAGCTAGTCCCCCCCCCCCGTAATAGCCTCTTGTGCTTCATGAGATGCTGCTCTGGAAAACTCCGTGTCTCCTTTCGAAAAAGAGGTCATGAGGGTTTCTACCTGAGAGGGGAAAGCCAGAAACTCCCTGTGTGTGCTTGCAGTTTGTATCCAAAGCTAGGTGAAACTAGTCTATCATTTCAAACTAGAAGTCTATTGACAGTGTTCAACTGGATTTTACATTCTACCTACCATAATACTTAAAACATGTAAAATGCATAGGTACATGGGTAGGAGGGCTAATATCAGTGAACGAGGGACGAAAGCAAAACACAAAAGCCCTCACCTGCTAGCAGAAGAGGATGATAGAGGGAAACAGACAAATCCCCCTGGGAAGGGAATTCCAAGAGTTTTGGCACCACGATTGAGAAGGCCCTTTCTCAGGTTGTTGCCCATCTAGCCTCAGATGGTGGGGTGCCTGAAACAGGGCCTCTGAAGAATGACTGGAGTGGTCAGGTAGGTTCATATGGAAGTGGGTGGTCTACTTAAGGTATGCTGGCCCCAAGCCATATAGAGCTTTGAAGGTACCAGCACCTTGAATTAGGCCCAGAAGCAAATTGGGAGCTAGGTGCAGCTGGCACAAGACAGGTGATACGGTCTTGATGGTATTCTGTCAGCATTTTGGCTGCAGCATTCTATACTGACTAGTTTCTGAACAATCTTCAAGGGCAACCCCCCCCCCCCCAAATGCATTGCAGTAGTTTAATGTAGATGTTACTAGGGCATGCACCACAGTGACAAGATTTTTTGGCCTAGGAAGGGAATGCTGGTGAAAGGTGTGTCTGGCTCCTGCTGCCACCTGTTTATCCAACAGAAGGCCGAGGTCCAGCAGTACCTTTAAGCTATGACTCTGCTTATTTAGGGAAGGTGCTAACCCATCCAGAGCGGGAAACATCCCATTTTCTGGATCAAGCCTTCACCCCACCAGCTGCACCTCCATTTTGTTGAGATTAAGTTTCAGTTTGTTAGCCCTCATTCATCCCGAAACTGCTTCCAGGCACTTGTTCAGTTTTCACAGCCTACACTGGAAGTGTTAGAACTGAACATCATCCACATGTTGATAGCAACTCAACCCAAATCGCCAGATGACCTCTCCAGTGGCTTCATGTAGTTGTTAAAAAGCATGGGGGTGGCAAGATGGGAGCCTTGTGGGACTCCGTTGGCCAAGGGGCTAAGCAGCAGTCCCCTAGTACTACACTTTGAAACCTACATTTGAGACAGGACCAAAACTGCCACAAAATAGTGCCTCCTGGATTCCCCAAAGGCAGTCATGACTGATGGTAATCAAGGCCACTGAGAAGTCCAGGAGAGTTAACAGGGTCGCATCCCCCCCCCATCCATTTTCTGGCACAGGTCATCCACCAGGCCTGAAATTTTACCACTTTCAGCCCTTTGTGCAGGCAGTGATTCACCATGGATCAACCTTCCATGCTGATGTACGAACTCTCAACTGGACAGCATAAGGGGTTCTGAATAGGATTTCTGTCTTACCTTATCCTTCGTTCTTTTTCTTTAGCTTTCTCCGCTTGCTCTATTCTTGCTGCAGGTATTCTTTCGAGGCATTCTAGCAAGTCATCCAGTTGGTGTTCTATAACGGTTAGCATCTGTAGCGTTCCAAGATTTGCCTCGTTTTCTCCAATGCAGCGCCGATAGACTTCCAGCACCTTTCGATGCAAGCTCACCAGCATTTTGTCCTGCAGGCAACAAACAGCATTAATCCTCAAGCACTGACAAAGAGTTGAGAAATACGTGTTTACTGTGAGCTTGTATTCACAGTCATGCTTGCAAAACGTGGGATATTTTTCTGGGGAAAGTGTCACCCTGTTTTTAGTAGCGGTTGCTAGACATTTATCTGTATATATCTTCCTATCCTGGCCAGTGTTTCCTCTTCAGTTACTACTTTGACTTGCGCACCTGAACCTCTGCTTTGTATTCTCCAAAGGAAAAGACTCGTGATTTGAGTTCTAGGTCTGCTGCTGTCTCTTCCTCTTTAACAATGTTGGCTTGAAGCGTGATCGCAAGTTGCTTTAACTGCTCGATTTCTTTGTCCCTGTTCAACAAGAAATTGGAATTTTTAAAATGGGTTTGGTAAGATTTTTCTCTCCAAGTAGGAATTCCAGGCTATCACTGGCATGCTTCACATGAAAGTTCATTCAGGTAATCCTTTATGTTAGTTTTTGTGATAAAGACATATTGGTTAAGGTAGGCTTGAGGAACGTGTGCAAGTTTGCAAGCCTAATGCAAGACAGACAGTTCACAAGATGAATGAAAGCTACGTGGATCTCATCACAGTGGCAGTAAAAAAAAGTTCAAACTATTGATCCCTTTTTTGTTCTTTACGGTTGATATGACAATGCAATACTCTTACAATAACATAATACCATAATTTCTCCATATTGATAATAAATTGCATTACTTTACACATTGAACTGAAAAAATTCCTCCTTCCTATGCAGTGTAGCACTAGCAATGTGGGCAGTTTGTTTTGACAGTCCATAATATTTAGGAAGTGTGATTCAACACAAGAACGGTCCTTTATTGTGCAGTCCTTAGGAGGAGATTGGATTTATACCCCACCCTTCACTTGGACTCTCAGAGCGGTTTACAAACTCCTTTCCCTTCCCCTCCCCACAACAGACACCCTGTGAGGTGGGTGGGGCTGAGAGAACTCTGACACAAACTGCTCTTTTTCAAGGACAGCTGTGCCAGAGCTTGTGACTGACCCAAGGTCACATCAGCAGGTGGGGAATCAAACCCAGTTCTCCCAGATTAGAGTCCGCACACTTAACCACTACCCCAAACTAGCAGAGTTACATCCTTTGAAGTCCATTGAAGTCAGTGGGCTTAGAAGTGTGTAAGTCTCTTTAGGACTGCACTGTTAATCACTTACATTTTATTGCGAGTGGTAGTCAAAGTATGCCGAAGTTCGTCTAGAGTTTCCTCTGTCTCCTGTGAATTCTGAATTAGAGACAAATTCTGTTCCTCGAGCTCAGTGAAAAGATTTAGCAACTGGTGTGGATCAGTAAAATATATCTCAGGCTGCTGCAAAGGAATGTATAAAGACCTAAGAATTATTGTTCTGTTTATCCTCAGCAGAGGACATGCAGGGCAGGAGAAATGGGTTCTTACCCTTCCAGCTGCTTTACTTCTTGTTCTTTCATCCCACCCTCCTGCATGTGGATAGCTGACAGAGCACTGAACTGGCAAGGGAGTGGGGAAAGTTGGAGGGGAAACTGGCCTGCCATGTAGACACTCACTTCTCTGTGGCTGCAACCACAGTAACACATGCCTAGCACTGAAAGCAGGGTCAACTGTACTTCTTCCTGCTCCTACTTCCTCCCTGCCCAACAAACATACTTTACAAAAACACATGGGGCAGAATAGTGCTGCTTATGCAATGAACCCATATATTGTATTTTCTGATAAATGTTGCATAGAATTACATGCAGTTTCCATTATGAAACAGGCTTGTGTTTACACTGTGCATAGTCTCAAAGATTTCCTTTTACCTGGGGAAAACATCCTTCTCCATCTTATAGTTCCATGTGTGAATCGTGCATGCAAGTATGGTATAAGGCTGTAAGTTAATGACAGAAGCAATGAGGATAAATTCTCACAATGTTAGTTAATGGACAAAACAATTCCAATATATCCTGTAGGTGTAGCATAAATCAAGGGAATTAGGATTCTTTGAGTCTGCTCTATACGTCTGGCTGTAGCCAGGGAAATATATTGTGCTATGCAAGCTGACCTCACAAGTTGTCATGCTTTCCAACCTTTTGGATATGGTGACTCACAAGTCCAAATTTACTTGGTAAGATGACCCTCTTTAAGAAAACAGAGCATGCAAAAACCAAAAAAAGCCTAGGACTCAGGCTGGGAAACACTGTTCTAGAGTAAGGTGGGTGGCACCTGGCAGTAAGGGCTTTTCAGGAAGCAGCCACTGTTAAGCATGACTGGAATATTACTTATGAAATCTAAACAAAGAGGAAACTTTAAAACGTGGGCTACTATTTTGATGAACTGATTTTTTAAAAATCCTGACAAGTGAAACTGAAGAAACTTTACCTCATCTTAATTAAAATTTAGCAAGGCTGAATTGCCAGAGACCAGCCAGAATTGCTCTGAGGGAAGACTGAAGTTAGCTTGCAAACGTCCACCCCTGGGTAAGTCAGTACCCATTGCTTCAAGACCCCAGTCAGTGGGAAGGTGCAAATGACAGAACTGGGCTATTTATATAGGGGAAAGGCCTGCAGAACCTTTGGGGGACTTGCTTGAGGTGAGTCCTATGTTTTGTTGCTTGTTTCCCGAGAAAAATTACTTACTTACTTACTTATTCACATTTATAGAACTATATTAGCTAATACAATAAAATTAAATTTAAAACATCATAAACATCAGATAGCAGAGAGATTTTCTGGTGTGAATAGCCAGTAGTTGTTAACAGAGTGACAAATACCTCAGGGAGGCCATATATGGGCGTCCGCTGCCTCAGCCAGAGGCCTGGTGGAACAGCTCTGTTTTACAGGCACTGTGGAATTGAAGTAGATCCTGCAGGGCCCTGATCTCAATGGGGAGCATGTTCTACCAGGCAGGGGCCAAGGCGGAAAAGGCCCTGGCCCTGGTTGAGGCAAGACGGGTGACTTTCAGGCCAGGGACTACACTCTAGAGATTTTGGGGGTGAAACCTGAGGAGGATGGGATTTGGGGAGGGGTGGAACTTCAATGGGGCATAATGCCATAGAGTCCACCTTCCAAAAGTGCCATTTTCTCCAGGTGAACTGATCTCCATTGCCTGGAGGTGTCCGGGCAATTTCAGGAGATTTCTAGCCACCACTCAGAGGTTGACAACCCTATCTCCAAATGAAATGTAAACAAGTGCGTTAAATAGCGGGATGATTATGAAGTTCTCATCCCTGGTATTTACAATAACATCCCTGCTACTCCTTTTGTGAGTCCCACAATTCTTTATTTTTGTTCTGAATTTTTCTCACAAGGTAAACTTCTTTGTAAAAACATGATTGGTGTGTCAGTCTGCATTCTGTCGGACATATGTACACATAAGTTGTGTATAAAAGCCATATAATTCCAATGAATTATACAATTCCAATGAATCTACAGAAACTGTAGTGTACTCAACTGTATGCTTGTAAACTCACACATTCATACACCATGTAACACTTCGTCCTGGGCAAGGATCCTAATCACTCCAATTCCATTGGTAGCCCAGGAAGAACCATCCCATCACCTACCATCCAGTTCCATGAGAGGGAACGATTGTGATTGGACTTAATTGTTACAACCTGATTGGTTGTTATTGTATAATAGAGCATGGCTATATTAGCCGGGAGAGTTCAAAAGAAGAGCAGCTTCAATGTTAAAGCTGTTCTGGCTATTCGAGTTGATCTGTTGGAGTTGTGTTACGCGTTTGCTGAATAAAGCTGATCTTTTGCTGAATCACTCTCTGACTCCTTTGTTAAGTAGCCGACTTAACAGAAACAACTGCAGGAAGCAGAGAACGAAAACATAAGAAATGACACTGGGCATATTTGCTCGTCCCTAATTTTTAAAAGGTACAAACAATTCTGTTTCACCAAATAGAGACTATCTCCTAGATGGTAGCATTTCCTAGTTTTAAAATCCTTGGAGACCTGCACAGTATCCTTATGGAGAAAATTAATCCCAACTAAGTAGGTAATTATACCAAATGTCAGAAAATTTTAGTTAACTAGTTTATACTTGCCTGGAGTGCCAAATTGATAGCACTGGTCACAAGTCACGTCTCCTGCACAAGCCTCATGAAAGTGAATGCTCAAACAACACGATCAAATGCAGTAAAGGCCCCATCAAGTAAATCCAAAGTAATATTCAAAAGACATTTGATTCAAGGTTACTGACCTCATCGTCTTCCTCATCAGATAGAGATATATTTCCTTTGTCTTCTGTTGAAGCACTTAGAGTACTCCTGTAGAGATTATTCTTGGGTTAAATACGAGCACAAAACGACTGCATGCAATTTACACAGTGGACAATGTGACAATTATTTTTGTTTGGCTTATTTCACACTGATTTGCTGGAGGCAAACAGCATTTTCCTGCTAGTGCCTTTGGTTTGTACACAGTAGCCCAGGCTAACCCGATCTCATCAGATCTTGGGAGCTAAGATGGTTTGGCCCTGAAAACCATCTGGATGAGAGACCACCAAGGAATACCAGGGTTGCTACACAGGCAGGCAAATGCAAACCACCTCTTAACATCTCTTGCCTTGAAAACCCTGCAGGGGCACCATAAGTCAGCTGCAACTACACACACATACACATACACAACACATCCGGGATCAAACAAAGTGGGCCCTGGTTCATGAGAGTTAATGCCACAGTAAATGTATTAGTCTTTAAAGTGCCACAAAACACAATAGGAAACAAAATACCGATGACTTGTATCTAATTAGTTCAATAGGGTTCGCTTCAAACTGCACAAGAGAAGGATTCTTTTGAGGAATCCACAGCAGGGAAAAGAGGTACACAACAGCACTGGTATACATTTGTAATGTAGATGAGTAGGGCTACCAGCTCCATGTTGAGAAATACCTTGAGATTTTGGGGGTGGAGCCTGAGGAGTGTGGGGTTTGGGGAGGGGCTTCAATGCCATAGAGTCCATCTTCCAAAGCAGCCATTTTCTCCAGGTGAACTGATCTCTTTCACCTGGAGATGAGATCTAAACCCAGGAAACCTCCAGCTACCACCTGGAGGCTGGCAGCTCTAGTAGACAAGGCTTCCATGGGAGTCATGTTCATGACAAGTCACTGCTGCTGATTTGTACTGACCACGCCACAGATCTTACCCCCTGTGATTGCTTTCATTTGTTCTGAGAAAGCTAAACTGTAGCCCTTCATTCACAAGCTGAGATAAGGCAAACCTTTGTCTGACAGATGGTTATGTAAAGCTGACTGACTCTTCCCACCCACCCCCGACACTTACGCTTTTCTGCTTTGCTGGGATTTTAAGTTTTGCCGAGAGACCATTCGGCCTAGTCTGATAGAGTCTCTTCTTGGCAGAGATATACTTGGACTCCTAGAATGGCTTTGCTCTGGTGGTGGGCACAAGTCAAAACTGGAACGCGTGCCTTTCTGTTTGCTCTTGCTTTGCTGATCCCGTCCTGAGCACAAAAAGAGCAAAGATCTTTGACAAAGACAGATATATATCTATAGATATAGATACATAGATATATATGCATATATGTCTGGGATTTTTTAATTTAGAAAAAAGACAACTAAAGAAGAGAGTGAACATGAGGAAACTTTATAACATTTTGCATGGGGTGGGAAAAATGAATATAAGAAGAAGAGTTGGTTTTATACCCCATCCTTCACTATCTGAAGGAGTCTCGGAGCAGCTTACAATCACCTTCCCTTCCTCTCCCCACAATAGACACTCTGTGAGGTAGGTGGGGCTGAGAGAGCTCTGAGAGAACTGTGACTGACCCAAGGTGGAGGAATGCAGAGCTTCATGTGGAGGAGGACTGGGGAATCAAACCTGGTTCTCCCAATTGGAGTCCACTGCTCTTAACCGCTACATCATAACTGGCTCCAGCATTTATGTTTTTCTCCCTCTTGTAAAACACCAGAATTCAGGGAGGTTGCCAAAATGATTTAAAACAAACGTAAGCATTTCTTCACACAACACCTAATTAATATAGGGAAATGTTAACTGGCTTAGACAACATATAGAAATGTGGTAATAACTTTAAAAGGGCATTAGACAAATTCACAGAACGATAAAGTTATCAACCGCTACCAGAGATATAAATTTTCAGAAATGTTGGAGCCATGGGGGAAAACAATTTTCCCCAGGGGGGAAAAATGAAATTTTTGGGAAAATTGAAATATGTGCAATATTACTTCTTTATCAAACATAAACTTCTTTTATTGATTGAATAACATAAAATGCATAATTTATAACTTAGCACAGAACATTGCACTCTTTGGTATATTTATGGAATTAAGAGTGCAAATGCTTCATTTTCTATAAGAAATTTCTCAAAAAAGAATGGCAGCATAGGAGATGTCTTATCAGTTTTTGCCATCTTAGGAAGAAAAAAATTTGAAGACAGAAAACAAATTCTGTAGTTAACAGAAGACAGTGTATTATTTGGATGGAAATTCCCTCATAGAGTCACAATAGATAGGGATGCTTGGATAAACTTTTTAACATTGACTTCTTTAATAATGTATTAGCATTAAGAAGAAGAGTTAGTTTTTATATCCTGCTTTTCACTACCCAAAGAAGTCTCAGAGCGCCTTCCCTTTCTCTCCCTACAACAGACACCCTGTGAGGTAAGTGGGCCTGAGAGAGCTCCGCGAGAATTGCTCTTGAGAGAACAGCTCTGAGGGAACTGTGACTGACCCAAGGTCACCCAGCTGGCTGCATGTGGAGGAGTGGGGAATATGCTATACAACATGGTCAGTGTAAAATACCTACCTTAAGAAACATTCTAAAAGGGAAAATATTTCATCCCAGTTTTCCCCCCTCAGTGTTCCTGGAAATTCTCCATTTTTTTCATTGGAAAATGAAAAAAGTCCAGGGTGGGGGGCAAAAACTGACCACCACCCAATTTCTCCCCCCCCCAGCCTTCATATCTCTAACCACTACCTCCCATGAGAGCTGAATGGGACATTCAGGTTTAGAGGCAGTGTAGCTTTAAATACCAGCTTCTGGGGATCACAGAGTAGACCGTCCTTTGCTGGACCGCTTACCTCGGCTTGCACTGGGTGCTACATGGACAGGTTTTTCATCTTTAAGATCAGTAATAACTTTCATCACTTTTTCTTTCCTCCGCTTTTTTTCATAGTTTTCTTGCCACTCCTTTGGAGACAACTGGAAGAGGAAGTCCTTGAATACCATGTATTCTTGCAAAGTGTCTTCAAATCTGGCAATCTCACTAGGAGGCAAATGGACTGAATAAATAAGTGACACAGAGACTGCAAATGGTAAACAGATTCAGTGTTTAGATTTCAAGGGTGGGTCTGCACAGAGGACAATCTGGCAGCCCACTAGTTTGCTCTTTGGGCAGGGGCAAAGCCAGGGAAAGGAGTGTTGCATTTCAGAAGCTAGCCGTTTTCCTGCACTGGAAGAGCATTGGGACCTCACACTGTGCCACCAGGGAAGTTTTGTATAATGACCAGCCCAAGAATCAAGCCCAACATAAATGAAAGTCCAGTATGGTTTTTTAAATACTGCAAAAGAGCAGCCCTGGAGACCTGCTCTTGAATTGGAGCCTCAGTGCAGAAGACGCAGCTCTTTCCCCTTGCCACTTTCCCCCAGCAGGTTGAACAGCAGCCTCAAAGGGACTGTTAAGTCGGCTACTTAACAAAGAGTCAGAGAGTGATTTCAGCAAGTGATTCAGCTTTAATGAACACAACCAGAACAGAACAACCAGAACAGCTTTTGCACTGTAGCTGTGCTTCTTTTAAACTCTCCCGGCTAATGTAGCCACACCCTCCTGTACAGGGGTCTTGTTGTAGAAAAAGAGCTGCCGGAGCTCATTAGCATAACTCATTAGCATAACTTATTTGCATATGCCACGCCCCCTGACATCACCGGAAGTGACAGAAGGCCACACCCCCTGACATCACCGGAAGTGTGTCAGAAGGCCCGGCTACTTACCCTCCTGCTTCATCCTCATTCCCAAACGGAATGAGGATCGAAGCAGAGGGCGGGGTAAAGAAGGGGGCAGGGCTTCACCACGTGACCGCCCCGCCCCCTAGAGGTTCTCTTCCGGAGCTCCGTACCTGAGAGCTCCCCCCCGACTAGAGCCCTGCTCCTGTACATTACAACCAATAGGAATTGAGTGATTAGGATCCTTGCCCAGGACAAAGCTTTACATGGTGTTTCAATTAGTGAGTTCAACACAGTTTTCCATTGCATTGAATACACCACAGGGACATTTCAAGGTGAGGAAAATTCTATGGAGGAAGAGTTAAGCCCCCTCTTCACACCACAGTCCTGATTCTAGTGGAGAGCCCCTAGTTTAAATGTGCGGTGGCATTTGTTTTGACCAGGGGTCATTTCGTAGAAAAAGAGCTAGGGGGACTCATTAGCATAACTCATTAGCATATGCCACACCCCCTGACATCACCGGAAGTGTGTCCTCCCCACAGCCGGCAGCGACCTCCAGTGGGCACCAGCAGGGAGCTCCCGGCCCCGCCCTCCCACACCTCACCCGGGGGGATGGCGTCCCCCCGCGTCCCCCCCAAATGACCCCTGGTTTTGACCCTGCAAAGTACACATCCTCTGGCCTCACACACCCCACTTTGGTCATGTTTCTGGGCATTTTCATAACAACTACAATGCTGCTGGGCTAAATTGGGAATCCTCCAGCCAAAGAGCAGCTGCATAATTTTTCTCTCCATGCCCCTGCAGATGTGATACAGATGGAAATCTGTCAAAAGCTACTGCTGATCACCATAAGACATTCAGGCAGAGGCACCTTCTTGTCTGATTAACCCATTAAGGGCTTTAGAGGTAACAAGCAGTTCCTGGAGAGTCACAGGGAGTCAGTACAGGGCACTGATATGATGTACTCCCAGCAGTCCACCCTGGAAAAGTTCATGTGCGGCACATTATAGTTATGCTGTAGCGTTCTAAAAACACAAATGAATCCCACACTATGTAGATGAATACTTATGGATACACGGGGGGGTGGGGGGGGTGGAGCGGGAACCAAACAACATTAAAGTTATGGGTGATATCTCCAGCTGCAATATTTTCCAAGCAATCGCTACCTTTGGATATTCATCATTTGGGCCGTCAGCTCTCGGATCTCAATTATTTTCTCCAACTTGGCTTTGGTTTCTTTCTCAGCACTGCAGAAGAAAGCATAAGAATGGGTAACTAACAATTACTGCAATGGCATTGGGAATGGCAATTGTACAGACACAGGAGAGAAGCACCTATGGGACAGAGGTGTGGCTCTCAACGTGATCTTTCCAAATAGGTACTGGCTGTTGCTAGGGCAGATTTGAGGTGTTTCCTGAAGCCGTTCCACACCTGTTGCCTAGCTTTCTGATATACGGAGTTGGAGAGTCTTACACAGAGTCAGCCCACTGACTCAATATTGTCTGTTCTGATCGGCAGTGGTTCTCCAGGGTTGTAGGCAGAGAAAGGTTTTGCCCAACATTTGCTGCTCGATATCCTTTAACTGGAGATGCTAAGGATTGAAACTGGGTCTCCTGGTAGAATATAGGTGGGGTACAGAACCAGTGTGGTGTGTTGATTTTTGATTTATTTGATTTATATCCAGCACTTCCCCGCAAGCAGGCTCAGGGCGGATCACAGCATTTCAATCAACAACATAACATATAAAACATTAGGGTTTAACTAGAACAAACAAATTAAACAAAACTGACATTATGAAAGAAAATTTAAGATTGAGTTTCAGTCCGATCAGATAGATGGCAACTAGTCCAGGCAGATTGATAGTGCCTCCTGCGATGATGCTCTGTTGGCCTCTGTGAGCAGGGCAAATGGTAACGAGCGCTGTAAGCACTGCAGCAGTGCAAGCAGTGTGAGCAGGGGAGGCTGAGATGGTTGTGATGACCGCCGCCTCAACCAAAGGCCTGGCGGAACAGCTCCGTTTTACAGGCCTTTGTTGTGGTTACAGTGTTGGTCTAGCATCTGGGAGACCGATGTTCGAGTCCCTACCCTGCCGTGGAAGCTTGCTGTGTGACCTTGGGCCAGTTGCATACTCTCACCCATGATACTGAGCAGTCTTTATGGCACAAACTTTTCTAATCCCCACCCACCCATCCCACCTCCTCAACAGTTATAAAATGGATATATATGAACACGAGCTGTGTAAGCAAAAGAGATTTGTCTTATTCCACCATTGTTTGACAACCAGTTACTTCCAATGGGATAACGAATTCTATGAACAGATGGATGAGGTTGCCGTGGGAAGCCCTCTCAGCCCAGTTATAGCAAACTTCTACATGGAACATTTTGAAGAAACAGCTTTAGAATCTGCACCCCACAAACCTACAGTCTGGTTCCAGTATGTAGATGATACCTTCATCATTAGAAGCCATGGAGAAGTAGAATTGATGGAGTTTTTAGACCATCTCAACAACATCCACCCAAACATACAATTCACCGTTGAAAAAGAAATTGAGGGTAAACTCCCATTTCTAGATATCATGGTCATCCACAAAGCTAACCTTCAATTAGGTCACAAGGTCTACAGAAAACCAACTCACATGGATCGTCATTTACACAAAAACTCCAATCACCACCCTCGGCAAAAAAGAGGCATAATCAAAACATTAGTAGATGGTGCAAGACGGATATGTGAACCGCACTTTCTCAATGATGAACTAAATCATTTAAACCACACACTTCAAGCAAATGGCTACTCCAAGAATGAAATCAGAAGAATGATTAAACCAAAGGTAAAACAAACAACTGAGGAAAAACAGTCTCCCACAGGAAAAGTGTTTTTGCCATATATCAAAGGAATCACTGATCAGATGGGAAAACTTATGAAAAAACACAACCTACCAACAGTATTCAGACCCACCAGAAAAATACAACAGGTTCTACGACTGGCAAAAGACAGAAAAGACTCCCTCACTGCTGCAGGAGTATACCGCATACCCTGCAGTTGTGGACAGGTTTACATTGGGACCACACAACGTGGCATCCAGACAAGAATAAAAGAACATGAAGGACACTGCAGACTTGGCCAACCTGAAAAATACTCAGTGGCTGAACATAGCCTAACTCAAACAGGACACACTATCTTATTCCAAGACACTGAAATGCTGTACAACACATCCAATTACCATGTCAGATTACACAGGGAAGCCATTGAAATTCATAAACACAAACACAATTTCAACAGGAAAAAAGAGAGCTTAAAAATAAATAGAGCATGATTTCCAGTCTTGAAAAACACAAAATTCTCTACATCTTACAACAGCACTACAGATAAGATTAGAATTTCAATAGCCAATCCGTATGCAAAAGAACCTCCTCAGGAAAGCTCCTCCTTTAGCATGTCACAGCCTGGGAAACTCCTACAAGATAATGACTCACCCCTACCCCACCTTCCTGAGTAGATATAAATAACCTGCCTATCATTTTTCTTCTCACACTGACACACAGCATACTCCATCTTTCTGTGTTATACCTCTGAGGATGCTATTCACAGCTGCTGGCAAAACGGGTGGTGGTACAATGCCAAGACCACGGCCATACAGCCCGGAAAATCTACAACTAATGAAAGCCTTCGACTACTTAGAGATTTTTTCTGTTGCTTCCCACCAACTGACATTTCCATTAATGCCAAAGTCCAGAGTCCCACTGGTAGTGTTACATTTTCAGGGCTTGTGCAGAGTTTCTGTCATTCTCCCTCAGGAACTCATCAAACATGGCAGCATCCTTCTCCAGGTCTTCCTCAGCCTTTTCCAACTTGACTTCCTCCTCCACTGCCAGCTTCTCGAGCTTTTGAATTTCATCTTTCTTTACAGTTACAGCATACTGAAATTAAAGCAGAGAGAGAGAGGGAGGGGAGTCTGGTGATTGACACAACCATCTTGGTTTGTCATCAAGACTGAAGATCTTAAAACTTAAACAACTTTTCTAAGATTGAGAGGAAGAGAAATGTATAGCAAGAGTATTGCTTTTTTTTTTCTTTGCTCAAAGTTGTATAGGAAACGTATGGCAACACCAGAATAAATCCCTACAAATCTTCTGCATTACATTCAAATGGGTTTTCCTTGAGGCAAAGACTTTCCCCTTGAACTGGTCCTATTCGATATACAGTTAGGTCAGTGGCTTGGACAGGTAAGTGCTACTCATTTGAACTGACAAGTTGGCCAGCCCACTTTATAGCCTGCCAACTGGAGTGATCCTGTATTGGCTGGTCCCAGGATTTGCATGCTTTAAATTATAACACCTATAAAATAAGGGTGGTCAGTTTCAAGGCTCTGATGGACACTGGTTCTAGCAGAGAATGGTACTGGATAAAAAGGGAGGATGTAGAATTTTGGGTGGGGAAAACAATTGGGCTCAACAAACTTCTTGAGCTCATGAACAAAGTGTTTTTGACAACAGAGGTGGCTGCTGAACTAGAGCCCAAGTCTGGGTTTCTGTGCTAGCAGCCAAAGTGGCTCAAATGACATGGACAAATTTGACAGATCAGCATTTCCCAACACAGAGTTGCATCACTGCCAGAAGAGAGACCCATTCAGCTTTACTCCTGCTCTGCAGAGCACAGAATTATTTCCAGGTTTCTGATGAGACTAGAGAAAAGACCTCAGTCGCCACTGCTTCTTTGTGTAGTCCTACATCCTCCCACCTTGGGAGCACTTCTGTCCTTCAAAGATGAAATAACCATTTGTTTTAAGACTCCCCCCCCCCCCGGTTTAACTGTAGTACATAATTTGTTAGAAACGTGCTACCTCAGGGAAGAAAGTGAGAGTCAATGTATGCACTCCCCATGCAGTAACCATCATTAGATCTGAACCAGACAAACTTCTGGCAACCTAAGGCTTCCTGGCATGCAGAAATCCTATCTCTTGCTCTTTTCAAATGATCCACACTTATATGAAGGCATATTATAGGATAGTAAAAACTGGAGCCCCCTACAGTGTAATCTTAGTGTTGGACCAGGAGTGAGGAGACCGAAGCTCATTTCCCTGCTCAGCCATGAAGCTAAGTGGGTGACCTTGGACCAAGCAGCCTGATCTGCCTCATGGAGTTGCTGTGAGGATAAACTGGAGGGGGGGGGGGGCGACCACATACACTTCTCTGAGAATCTTGACAGGAGAGTGATACCGAGAGACAGGGTTTAAATATTCAGGAAAACGATGTTGTACAGGCCTCTCAGAATGCAGTCAGTGGGCCACACATCATAATGCTCTTCCCTTGTCAAAACATCCCTGCAGGGGAAAAGCTAGTGCCTCTAAGTCATTTGCTGGCTTTTGCATCTCACATCAAGGTGCCTGTGCTTGACATTTCCCCCATGCATACTGCATCCGCATGACAAAGAAATAGTGACAAAGAAATAGTGACTTTCCCCAGACACTCGGGGACTGTAATGGCTGGACAAGGATCTGAATCTGGTTCATACCCAAAACCAAAATTCAGTCCACCATACTCATCTCACTGGCCTTTTGGAATCAGTGGATAGACCACACTGGGTTGCAATCTGCAGATCTGTTTTGCTAGCAGCGGCACTTTCCTCTAGCGCAAGGAACCTTCCCCTGGTGTGAGACTGTCGGCACCACTGTCAACTGACCCATCCGAGGGATCCCACCCATTGCTCCTAAAACCAAGAAGCTCAAACACAAGGTTAACTGCCTGAAAGGGAAGTGAAGTACCTGCAGCAGGAACATTTGCCGTTTCTGACTGATGTAGTCGTACATGGTTTCTCTTTCCACCACCTGGTCTAGGTTGAGAGAGAGGCAAAGTTTTATGAGCAAGAAGCAGAACGGGTCACCAAGAAAATGCAGTGATGAGAAGTGGCGAGGCATTTTGTTCAATAGGCTTTTATAAATCTTCCTCAATTCACTGTGAAAGAAAACTGCAGTTAGGACTCAACTGGCTACCTGGGTAAGATTCTTATTTAGAGGCCCTTCTACAAAATCTTTGGGAATGTTTGGAACTGATGGGGCCCATTCAGAAATTTTAGGCAGCCCCTTCTCCCCACTCTCAGTGGCTTCTGACAGCCAGTGGCAAGTTTCATTTTATATTGTTCACCACCAACAAAATATATGAAGAGCCATGCTGGGTCAGACCAAAGGCCCATCTAATCCAGCATTCTGTTCACACCATGGCCCACCAGCTGCCTCCAGGAAGCCTGCAAGCAGGAAGCCCACAAGCAAGCAGCAGAGTTGTCTGACAAAGGGTTTACTGAATACATGTCGGAGATCTGTGAATCATGTGCACACTGTCATAAACATCTACATAAAGAAACTTGCCATGTCTGCAGCCTGCCACTGCAACTTGTCATTTAAACAAATGAATCTCAGGGGAAGCATAATTTGGGAGGAACCATGGCTCAGTGGCAGAGCATCTGCTTGGCATTCAAAAGGTCCTAGGTTCAATCTTCTGCATCGTCACTTCAAAGGATGAGATAGCAGGTGATGTGAAAGATTTCTGTCCAAGAGACCCTGGAGAACTGCTGGCATTTAGATTTGGTAATAATTGATCTTGATAGACCAAGGGTCTGACACTGTATCGAGCAGCTTCATGTGTATTTGTGTCACAGGCAGTTTCAGCCTGAGGCTGCTTTAACCAGAAGCTGGTAGAAACTGGACCTGGAAGCTTGTCCAAACAAGGGTTGTATTCAGCGCCTGAATTTTAGTTCCTCTCTGTGGATTTTTTTTTTAATTCAAATTTTTATTATTTTCAACATACACAATAACAATATATAACGGGTTGACTGAAATCAGAAAAAATATAGTGCAAGAAGAATTTACATAACAACTGTGGAAACAACATAATATATGCTCTCTGTGGATCTTGATTTGGGTGTTTGCAAAACGATCTCTACCTTTAGTGACGGCTATCTTCCATGAGATGCTTTCCCGGAGAGCTTTCAGACGTTCAGCTTCTGCTGCAAACTCTTTGTCTTCGGCTTCCTCTTCCATCTGGATTTGTCTCTTGAACCCAGATTGTTTTGCACCAATCATAGTGGAGCAGGTCATTTTCTCATGAACCTTCAGCATCTTCCTTCGCTCTCGCTCCTAGAGGCAATGCAGCAGTTAGGGCCAAAGTGTAGACAACCTTATTGGAGGTCCTTGATCAGCGCCTCTTGTGGCTTTTTAACAAAGCTAGTAGCAGCCCCACAGGAGATGGCCCTTCAGATCAGAACATGGTACAGAAAAACAGGGTACTGAACCTTTTCCTTGTACCATTCCTCAGTGCAAAATTCCCCTCCCAACCAAGCTATTATCACCCCGGCTCTAACTGGGTTTTCAGTAACTGCAAAGTTTCCTTTAGACTGAAAACATATTTCACTAGTTTATAGAGGCAGATGGCACTATGGCAACTGGCTAGTGGACCTGTATAGACATGTGCACAGCAAAAATCAGGAGTTGCTGCCCATGCTCTTTTACTACCCGTCTTGGTTGTGGAATACTTATTTTATTTTGAACATTTTTATGCTGCCTTTCCACCCAATCAGGGTCCACAAGGCGGTGAACATAAAGAAAATTAAAATATTCAAACAATTAAAATATAATTGAAAATACAAAATTCAATGACAAACCCATAAAGAAACAACACTAGAAAGAGGGCCAATAACTATCTTTGGGGGTATGCCAGATTAAACAAAGAAGTCTTCACCTGCTGATGAAAGACACCAATAGAGGGAGACAGAAAAATCTCCTTGTGGAGGGAGCTGTAAAGTTTTGGTGCCCCAATGAAAAAGACCCTTTCTCAGGTCACCACCCATCTCGCCTCAGATGGCGGGGCAATCAAAGCAAGGCCTCCAAGGATGACCAGAATGAGTGGGTAGCTTCATATGGGAGAAGGCTTTCCTTAAGGTGTATTGGTCCCAAGCTGTACAGAGCTTTAAAGGTGAATACTTGCACCTTGAATTGAGCCCAGAAGCAAGTTGGAAGCCTATGTATATGGGACAAGACTGGAGTAATATGGTCCCTACAACTCATTGTATAGTATTGGTTTTGATGGTGCTTTCACATACTGGCTTAATTCGGTGCCACTCCTGTCAATGGAAATGTAACCAAAGTTCCCTGGTAATAAGAGTTCACGGAAATAGGTGCCCTTCATGATACTGATGCCCACAACAGTGTTAGGAAGGCAAGTCATTTGTGTTTGCATTTCAAAGGTTGGAAGAAGTGTGATTTGTACTGTGATCAGGCCTTGGTTCCTGCCGGAGCGCACCGGCGCACCGCTCCGTCAGTCAGGAGCCAAGGGGGCGGGCACATAAGCCCTGCCCCCTGCTCCCACCAGCCATCAGTTGGGACACGGTGGGGGGGGGACATTCCCCGCCTCCCTGAGCCCCGGGGTGGGGGCCTTGGACCAGCACTCCAATCACAGGCTACATACACTGCATCCATTTCTGTTACGCTGGTTAAAATCTTCACAGTCCCCATCAAATCACCTGTACATGTATACTGCCCCTGGACATGGAAGTTCTGTTTAGCTATAATAGCTGATAGTTGGATTTCTCTAATTCCTTCTTAAAGCCATCTGTGTCAGTGGCCATCATCACATCTTAAGGAGAAAAAAAATGGCTGCACCAAGCAATGTGCCAGCAAACCGAAAAAGAAGAAAAGATGCTTGGTGACAGCTTTATTGCTATACAAAGATGCTTTAGAACTTAATTGCTCTGGAAAGGTTCGGTACAAAGTTAGTTCTCTGATCCCAGGATGAAGCATTTACGGCGAAACATGTAGGGTCTTTTCATAACAATAAAGCTGTCCCCTAGCATATGGGGTTTTTTTTGCATCATCACATCTCACAACAAGATACCAACTAGTTATTCATTCATACTTTCTTTTATCTATCCTGATTCCATTGTCAATCAATTTCACTGGGCGACCCCAAGTTCTATTATTATGAGAATCTGTTTCCTCGGAGGGCGGGGTTTCGGCGAGCTGATGGTGGCCGTGTCTCCTGGGATCTCTCAGGGAGGTGGCTCGCAAACCAGCAGTTAGAGAGGGGGTGCGAATGTCCGCACCCCCTGAGACCTTTGCGAAGGGTCTCCAGTCATGGAGCACTGAGGGTCACCTCTTTCCCGGCCCGCTGTCAGGAAATTGAGGCGTCCCTTTGCTCCGACGGTCTCTCTGCTGTGTTCCGGCAAGGACTAAGCTACACACGCCCCAAATCAAGCAAGTGGAGGTTGAGCGGCAGATAAGGATATCTGTCAGCAAGATCTGCTTGATCTACATATGAAGAGTGAGTAAAGTTGAAACGAAACAACAAAGCAATGGATTGTACAGAGAGATTCCAGGAGACAATTAAGCATTGAAGCAAGTTTTCAGGACTTTGGCAAACTTTGTAAAAGTAAACATCCTTAAAATGGCGCCGGACAACAAGCGATATCCAAGCTTTCTCCAGGAAGTGGAGGAGCTGGTGGTTAACCATCTGACCAGAAATAATCATAGACACTTGCAAACTGTGTCTTAAGCCTTTGTTCCCTGTTGGTATAAACGAGGTACTATGCAAGAACTGTGCTACTTATCAGCTGTTGCTTTTAAAAGGACTGTGTTAATATTGGAGAACCAATGATCATAGGGGCTTCCAGGATCGAAGAGGAGGGTCAAATGGGCATTTGCAATTCGAAGGGCCTGTATGCAGACCATAAGCGACGCTTAAAGCGAAGGAGTATCCTCCATGGTTATATCCTGATTAAGTCTGCTGGGCAATAAGGTGACGAGACTCTCTTCAAGTTGGGCAGTGAAAAGCAAATTGGAATTTGATTGAAGACAAGAATTTAAGCGGAACAGTCCTGGAAAAAGGAGAAGGGACTTTGTTTTGAGATGGCCAGTTCCTGATACAGCAAGATGGTGCCACAGGGAAGAAGAAAGAGGAAAACAGCAATGGAAGAGAAAATGAGATTGTGTAATATCTACTGAGGGAGACTTATTGTTAATTTGCTTTTAATGGTGGAAAATAATGGTTAAATGAGATGCCATTGTTCTCTGTAATTTGTGTCTAAGTTAAATAGTGATTCTCCTGGACTACTCTTCATATAGTCAGATTTGTTGGGATGTTTTTACAAGCTATGATGATGATTGATCACTTTCAATGTTAAAGAAAGCTTTTTATTATTGTTAAGCAAATTTTTTACAAGCTGTATGTGACCTCCAACCTTTGGGTTTTTAGTGGGTTTTCTTTTCTTTCTCCTATAGTGTGTAGATTCCCTCCCCAATTTCATTGTAGTTTTTAGTAAATGCTAATAAAAATCCCCTATGGGGGGCATAAAAAAAAAGAATCTGTTTCCTCCACCTCATTCATAATCTCTATGATTTAACAGGGCAACTGACAGAGAATCAGATCCAACCATACATGAGCAGCCAAGGAAAATGTCATTCTGCTTGTGCAAGTAATCGCAGAAGGTCTGCAATGGCACACAACACTTCAATACAATTTTTAACAAAATAATAATGTGCATATGGAGCAACGGCATGCTCCAGTTCATGTGATTTTATTCAATTTGCTTTTGAGACTGTAGCAGAAGAAATATCTTGTGGTACATCTTGTATTGCACACTCAGAAAAGACAACTGGCATATCATCATTTTCCTATGGTACATACAGACACCAAGGATTACTTCCAGCACTTCTGCATTTTGAAAATCTCCTGTGGGATCCAACCCACAGTCATGCCTCTGACTTGTCATTCTTGGGGATTTATTTTTGTTTGCAAGTCTCTTATGATGATTTGTACATACCAATCTTGCCTTTTCCTTCTGTTTGTCTCTCAGTAAGAAGATATCTATGTCTGAAGGGATTTTGAAAGGGTTTTTATCCAATGCTGTTTCTACACCACTTGGAGTTTCTGCAAGAAATAGGATGTAGTTAGCAGGGCATCACCACAGGAAAAGGCAAACATGCCACTGTGAAGATACGGGAACAGTTACAACAATGGACTATGTTCTGGTCTGAGTTTTCGTGCACTCATTTGTCAGAATAGACCCATGTCCTACCTGTACCTGAAAGATCCTGCTTTAATTGTAGGGTTGCAATACTATGCAGCATCACTCCAGTTTAAGCACTTTGATTTCAGACGGGAATGACTCTTCATAGGATTGCACTGTCAGCTGATTAGCTAGTTAGTTTCTGTTAAGTCGCTCACTTAACAAAGCAGTCGGAGAGTGATTCAGCAAGAACACAACTTTATTCTTCAACTCGAACACAACTCCAACACGGATCAACATCTGATAGCCAGAACAACCTTTACATTGCAGCTGTCCTGCTTTTAAACATTCCCGGCTAATGTAGCCACACCCACTGTACAAATACCAACCAATAAGGTTGTTCACATAAGGACCAATCACGGATGTTCCCGCTCAGGGAGCTTGCTAGAAGGTGATTGGCTAGGTGCTTCCAGGGCTAGTAACACGATTGGATGGATTTGGCCCAGGATGAAGCTTTACATTACACTTCAATTAGATGTTTCACAACATATCATGCATTCAAGGCAGCTTTGAATACACTACAGTTTCAATCAATTAAAAATCTTTTGACTGACTGAAAATATGATCCCAGTTAATCATGCAGCAGAGTTTTTTTAAAAAATGGTTTTTAAAAACTACAACTGCTTACAAAAACATCACGCATGAGCTCCATCTAAGAGGAGGGATTGCTCCTTCTCTCACATGCAGGAGACAATGGGCTGGATCCTATGACTCTCTTCCACCAAGTCTTCCTCTGACACAGAAAGGCTTCCTTTTGACAGAGAAGGATTCTTCCACATCAGAGGACACCTTTCTTCCTCAGGCAAAGTCATTCTCCATTGGAGGAAGTCTTTCTCCCCTGAGAAAGCACAACCCAGTACCTCATTTAAGATGGTGACTACTATGAGAGTCTATTCAACATGCTCTCCTGCATTGCCTATCCCAGAATGACATCCGACATCAGTATATTGCTCCAATTCTCCCAACTACATCGAGAAGATCTGAACAACTTTATGTCTCTCTCCCCCTTGTTGACTTGTCCCAGGAGATAACTTGCAAAGCTGCCAAACTTTCCCTATGGACGTGAGGGATATGCAAACAGCTGATTGAACCCCAGTAATTTTGCTTACCTGTTTGAGGAGGGTATTACTCTCTTTGTCCCCCCCCCCGCCCTTACTTTGAGTTCACTGTTTTGTGCCTGCCGCATTGCATGTGTTTTCCTTTTATTATTTGTTGATTCTCGGAGCTGATCTTGTATCGAAATAAAGTTTGATTTGGATTTGGTGACTATTTTGACACATTGCATACAACATCAAAAAACAAAAAGAGAATTTTGAAGATTTAACTGAGCAATAAAATGAATACGACTACATCAGCTGAGATTCTTCATTTGGAGGCCAGTAACTGTATTGTTCTTGAGGATTTTGGTTGAGAGTGCATAAGGTGGTGGCTAAGTTTTCCTTGCAGTCCCTGAGTGTGATAGCTGCCCTGTCTTTCCTCAAATCCTGTATAACTGGTATTCATCACACGGAGCTCTCACATCAGTTGATATCACAGTATCCCTGTTTTACATTTTCCAGTGCTAACATTAATATTCATGGGGGAAAGGCCAGTACAATTCAACAAGAATGGTTCTGTGACTGACATTCCACCCCCCTAGACGTTCCTTTTCTGCGGCCAGATATCAGAATGAAAAGAAACTAGTACCGTGGCACTATGAGCTTTTTGCAGGGCAGATCATGTAAGGAGGATGACGACAGACAAGGGATTGGTTGCTGCCATGTAAATTGTTATGATTTATTAGATTTTTATACCACCTTCCCCGTGAGGTGGGCTCAGGGTGGTTTACAAGTTAAAAGCAAATACATGATAATTTAAACTGTTAACATTAAGAGCTATGCAGCAACAAGGTCCTGAATGCTAAGGCACCATGATTACAGGTCTCCTAACCCCGATCAGGAGGGGAGGGAGGGGAGAGAGGAGGACTAAGCATGCCATTGCTGTCCTCAGCCGCATCATTGCACAAGGGAGAAGAAGCGCCACGTGCTGCCTTCCCAGTGCACAGAGTGTGAGGCTGGCTGGCTATGCAGGTGCAGGAGGGGGGCAGGCAGAGGAAACTGAGCCAGTCCCCAGCATCTGTCTATCACTCGCTCTGTGTCAGGGGTGTGTGTGTGTGTGCGCGAGATCGCAGAAAGGGCAAAGAAGAGGCATTCCAGGTGAATCCAAACTCTACTGTGTCAGCCATCAGAGAGACCCAGTTGGGGGTCCTCAAGCTGACATTGCCCCCCCCCCCGAATTTTGTCCTCCCAGTCTCTCTCTCTCTCTCTCTCTCTCTCTCTCTCTCTCTCTCTCTCTCTCTCTATCGCCCTTTTTGTG